GTTTTTAATACATTACCTTTGGAGGACATTTAAGATGTGAACTACACTGGCTATAATAAATAGATTTTCAGTGTAGGTGGAACAACCTCTTATTAGAAGATGCCATCTAGAGCTTTCAAAGATCAAGAAAAGTCAGTACTAGGCTTAAAAGCTTCAAAGGATAGGCTGACTTTTGTAAGGGGTTAATGTGGCTGATGACTTTAAGTTGAAGCTCATTCACCATTCTGAAAAGTCTAGGGTCGTTAAATATTATACTAAATCTACTCTGCCAGAGTGCTGTTAGTGGAGCAACAATGCTTGGATAACAGCAGGTGTGTCTGTTTACAACATGCTGTACTGAATATTTTAAGACCTAGTGCTTAGGGTAAAAAAAGAAAATTCCTTTCAAAATGTTTCTGCACCTGATCATACAAGAGCTTTGATGGATGTTTACAATAAGATTAAAGTTATTTTCATGCATTTCATGGTAACATAACATCCAGTCTGCAGCTTATGGTTCAAGAAGAAATTTAGACTTTCAAGTCTTATTATTTAAGAGATATTTTGTAAGGCTATAGCTACCATTAGGTAGTGATTCCGCTGATGGATTGGGCAAAATAAATTGAAAACCTCTGGAAAGGATTCACAATTCTAGAATGTTACTAAAAACATCTGTGATTCAGGGATGGCAGAGTTGCTCAAATGGCAAAATGCTATCAAACAGCATCACATGCTACAAAGAAATCTTTCCTTAAAAGGAGGCATAACTGATACAGCAAATTTTGTTGCTGCCTTATTTTAAGAGATTACCAGATCCATCTCACCTTCAGTAACCACCAACCTCATCAGCCAGCAGCCATCAACACTGAGACATGAGGCAAGCACATGTAGCACTAAATACCAGGGATTGTTTCAAGTGCTTTTTGAGAGGCAGCTACTGTTATTTCTGTTATATAAGGAGGCACTGAAATAGCAAACAACTTACCCAGGGTTATCTACCAAATTACAATGTATCTCTATACTATTGGTCAGTAAAGGGAGAGATAGTAAATATTTTAGGCTTTCATCCCATTAAGTCTCTGTTGCCAGTACTTAATTTTGCCATTGCAGTATGAAAGCCATCATGGTCAGTATGTAAATAAATGAGTGCAGCTGTGTTCCAGAAATAACTTATTTAGTAACATTGGAATGTCATGTAACATTCATTTATCATGAAATAATTCTTTAGCCTTTTTAACTATTCTTATCTTGTGCCTAGTACCAAAACTTGCCTTCCTTGGGTCAGATTTGGCCTCTAGGCAGAAGTTTTCCAGCCCTTCTCTAGGTTGCTCCTTATATTTTGGGGTCTTACTTTGTTCTATTTTGGATTTATTTACTCTGCAGAGTTTTCTCTCACGAGGACTAGACAACTTAATCTCAAAGCATTTAGTTGATTATTTATACCAGTCAATAAATGACACCAGCATAATGTTGCTACATTGGTATCTAGAGTGTTCTCCTTTAGTGATTTCATACTTCCCTGAATGTTCCCTAAAGCAGAGTGAGCTAGACCATGTTGTTTTATTTATTGACTCTGGTTTTTTGTGTATTATCAGAAAATTGGGCCTTATTTTTGAGGTAGCTAGTAATGGATACTACACAGGTCACTTTGTGTTGGCTCCCCTCTTTCATGTTCACAAAACTCAAACAGTAATTTTATATTCTTACTGTGGTTGAGATATAGTTTAAGTGTACACCAAGTCTTCATGTGTTGAAATTTAATCTCCATTATACAGAATTAAGAGGGTAGAAACAATTCAACTATGGTGATTAGATGTGGGGCCTTTGGAAAAGTGATTTGGATTAGATAAGGTCATTAAGATTGATTCTGCATGATTAAACCCTGTTAGCTTTATAAGAAGAGGAAGAGAGACCACCCAGACACATACACAGGCATGCTCCCTGTGTGTTCATATGTGATAACCTGGGCTGCCTTGGTTCTCTGCCAGCAAAAATACATTCACCAGATGAGGACCCTAGTGTATCTCCAGAATCATGAGCCAAAATACATCTGTAGCCTGTTTCAGTGTATTTCATGATAGTAACAAAAAACTGATACACTTCTATGTTTTCTTTGGTTCTTTGCAATCTAATTATTAAATATATTACCATAGGACATTTTATTTCCATTAATAACGTACGTATTTCTCTCTCCTTCAATGTAGTTAATTGTTCCATTTGTCCATGCTATCTACTCAGCATTAGGAAGTCTCACTCTTTTGTACCTAGTATAAATTTAACTTCTCCATATAATAGACATAACATGCAAGAAGAATCAAAGTACATAAAAATTGGATGTATGTTTCTCTAGAGAGAAGGGAGATTTAGGCCAAGTTTTAGGTGAAATTATGTAAGCAGGTCTTGACAAAGCAACAGACTGAAAGATCTGAAGATCATCTGTGGTTTAGTAAATGGGGAGAAACTTCCTGTGACTGAACAGCATGGGACTCATGATAAAAGCTTTGTGTTTATTTGGATCAAATGGAAAGGTTCTATGTCACAATAAGAAATGTGGATTTTCTGCTCTAGTCAAATACCTAAATGGAGCAGAAAAGGAATCTAAGTAATAAATAAATTAAGCAGGTAATATATTGGAGAAATGAGAGGTGGGTGGGGACTGGCAAATCAGACGAGGAGAGTGCATGCCCTATTTAAAGGCAGTAGCTGCTCAGCTTATTCTGTAATGTAGAAATTCAAGTCTTCTGTAATGGGGAATTTGTTTTTTAAGAGCATAGAAAAATCTAAATTTAACCTGAAATACCACAAATTTAAAATATTTACAATCAGTTAAAATGATTTTAAAAAAATAATGTATTGTTCATACAAAACATATTAGCTAAAGCTCGGTGCTTTACATTGTGCAATTCTAAAAGCAGTTTGTAAAGTTTCTAAGTAATGAGATCATTTTCATGTTTTAGGAAAATAGCCGTGTCAGCTGGGCTAAACACAAATTTTGTGTGTAAAAAGGCAAGAATGAAGACAGGTCTATTAGAAGTTTAAAGATGAGATGGATGTAAATTACTAGTGCTTTGTAAATAAGAAGAAAAAATTGCAGAGGCACATTTGATGTTTTTTTCAGACATACTGATTAATTGTAAAATAAATGCAAAAATGCTAATAATGAAAAGTAATCATCTCTTTCATTCCTGATTCCCAGGTTTTATTTACTCTACAGAGAGGCAACTCCTTTTACTAGTTTGATTGCTATTCCTCTAGGTACTTTGACAATATATAAACGAATGTGGTGCTGTGCATGCGCCCACCACCACTTCACAAAAAATAATGTTCAGTGTCCCCCCTTATCCAGGAGGGATACATTCCAAGGGCCCCATAGATGCCTGAAACCTCAGATAGTAACTAGCTTCATATATACTACGTTTTTGTGCATGTCCTGTAGTACTGTCACATCGTACCAGAGCTAATCTGGCCTTCTATGTTTTATCTTGTACCTCCTTTGCATCACTACTTTTGTGCTTTAGAGACATTATTAAGTAAAATAAGGCTTACTTGACCACAAACACTGAAATACAGTTGATGTGATAACCAAGACAGCTACTAAGTGTCTAAGGGGCAGGTAGCATATACAATGTGTATATAGTGGATATAGAGATGATTTGTGTCCTGTTTGGGACAGTGCAAGATTATAATATACTACTAAGAACAACACATGATTTCAAATTTATGAATTGTTTATTACTGAAACTTTCTAATTAACATTTTTGGGCTGCATTTGACCAAAAAAAAGCAAAACTGTGGACAAGGGGAACTAGTGTACTGAATATGTCTGCATCTTTTCATTTTTCATATAGATATAGTTATGTTGTCACCAATATTTTCATTATTATTTGCATTATAATTCAGCATATGGATATATCTGTGATTAATTTACTCTGTCCCATATATTAGACATTTAGATTTCTAGTCTTTTGTTTTTGAAAATCTGTGGTGCATAGCTTTGTATGTATGTCATTGAAACTTATGTGTGTTTATCTGGAAAATGAAATTCATATAAGTGAAACTGTTAGGTCATGTGGCATGTATGCATCTTAAATTTTGATGACCATTAATATAGTAACCTTAAAAGAGGTAATACCATTTATAATCCTTCCAACAAGATATTATGCATGGTCTGTTTCTGTACTCTAGAATGATCATAAAATACATCAACTGTTTTTTTTTTTTAGTATGATAGGAGAAATGGTTAAAGTTTTTGCTTAATTATGAATAAGGTCGGGCATCTTTTATATTTGAAAAAACCCACTCGCCTTTTCTATATAACAATCTTCTCTCCCATGTTTCTACTGGGTTGTTGACTTAAAAAAATTATTCATGGAAGCCTTTTAATTAAGGAACTCAACAAATATTATTTCTCAATGTATCTTTTTGTTTTAAAAATAATTTTTAAACTATAGCTCTGCATTTAAAATTTATTAGTGATTTATTTTGGTTAAAGGCAAACTCATTTTTAAAAGTACAAAAAATTTTAGGTAGGTATTCCTAGTTGAATATATTTTAAATGAATTAAATTTGAGATTTGGGGGAATTTGTCATTTGCATTATTTTTGGATTTCTAAAAAATAATAATTTTATGATTTTCCATGCTCACGATTTAGAAATAGTACATACTCCTTCATGAACTCTTTAACTATTAAATGCACATGAAGTATTTAGAAACAGTATTTTCCAAATAGTTTATTTAAAAAGGAGAAACCACAGAATTTGAGCAGTCCTGTTGTGAGTGGGATAATTAAGGTAAGCATAGTGCTTGAGGAAATGTGTCATTTATTAGATATATTCTTGAATATAAAAATTTCATGGTAATTTTCTACCTTTCTGGATTTGTGTTAATTTTACCCATCCCTTCCCTTATATCCTTCCAAAAGAATTAGATTTTGGATTTTCTCTGGGGGCCCACTGTACTGAGGTTTTTGTGCCTATTTTAGATCATCCTTTTATATAAGACCACCATTTATTAATTCTAGGAGTTTCTTCGAGTTGCTGCTGTTCTTTGGAAGAGATGAGTTTTATGAAGAACCCTTAAAGGATATTCTTGGATCATTCCAGGTAAAACAGTTCACTATTTTTGCCTGCATTTAATACAGTTTTATTCTCCTAAAAATATACTTTACTGGTTATTTAAAAGTTTTGCTTAGAAGTTTTTATGGTCGCTAAGGTTGCAGTGTTTAAGGGCCTATTCTACTAGCAGATAATTAAGTATCTTAAAGTTAATTTTTAACTATATTCCCAAGCAGTTCATAGTCACAATTCCAATTTCACATTTGCTAGACCAGAGCTGCTACCACACATATAAATTCCTAAGCACATCTGGGCATATAGCGCTTTTTATTGCTGTAATATAGAACTTTACATTGATGAAAAAAAACCTTTCTTTTTGCCTAGACTAGAAGCAGGCTGTTTATCCCATGCTACTTTTCCTTTGTCTGTACCCTGATCTCCCATCACAATAGCCTTGTGAATCTAGGAGGTAGAAGGGTTTTTTGTTGTTTTGCTTCTGAGTTTTCCATCTGGTGTAGGAGAAAGGAGAATAAATCAAAAAGGACAAAAGATCAAAACCTCTCTTGTAGAATCTTTTACTATTTACTTGTATCCTGGGATCACTCATCTGTCTTTAGCAGTATCTTATCAGGACTTTTCTGGGATAAAATAAAGGAAAACATTTTGAGCTCCTGCAGGAGCTCATTTCTAACATATCATGTATTTATCACTATGGTGTGAGGAAAAAAAAGGCTTATGGTCAATCAGTATTGAAATGAAAAATAATGTAAAATGAGGAACAAAATTCACTGTGAATGCTAGAAACTAGGATGAGTGCCTTATGCCAAGTACCCAGACAAGAAACCAGATTGAGGGATAGGCCACATAATTGGTTGACTGCATGTGATGAAAAAATTAAATACATGAGAAAAAGAGATAAAGACCCTCCAGTGGTATCTAGTAAGCTCTGTTCCATCAACAGCAGGTTAGAAAAAATAGTGGATGGTAGGGATTAGTCTTCATGTCTTTCGGGTGAGTGGGAGGAGGTAAGGGGATACCACATTCCAAGCAGGAAGACGCCAAGGCTATATTACTGCAAAAGCACTGTAAGAGGAAAGTAAAAAGTAATCAAAGGTAAAAGCCACCCATAAGAGCAGAGGTTTTTTTTTTTTTAAAGTTTAAGCCTACCCTGCTCACTGGGGTAAGTGTTGATTTTTCCTAGGCCTATAGATTTGCCACTAAAACCTTCCCAAAACCTAGACCATGGTCCCTTTTTAGAGTACTTAGAAACTTTTTTCCAAAGATTTACTTTGGCAAAGCCTAATATTGGTAAGCAAAACAACGTTTGGAGTGGTGGTTAAAGGAATACAACCATATCAGCTTTATAGCAAGGCACTTGTGAGGAAAGTTTCAAAATTGTATTTTCTGCTCAAAATATCTCTTCTTTCTTTGCTCTATTCCTTTTTGACTGCATATGACTTCTCCCTGTAAGTTTTTCTACCATTACCAAGGTACTAACCCTCCATATTCTATCTCTCCCTAAACTGTTTATCTGGTGGGTCAGAAACTGACTTTCATCACTGTCTTTCTAACAATTTAGTCTTAATCCCTTAATAAATGTTTGCAGTACATTTATTACAGTTAAATTATTTAAAATAAGTAAATTCACAGTTCATTTTCTGGAGCTGTCATTTTAATCACAGCATACAGAAGAGAACCTGTAGACATTAGCCAAACACATTTTCCCTTATAACAGACTTATTTCTTCTATTTAACAGTAGTAGCTCACACAGCCTGAAACCTGGAGTTTGTTTTATTGAGGACTGTTTGGAACTAAATAGTTGCTTCATTGTCTCCTTCAAGTGATTTTCTAAAGACAGGGGAATTCAATTAAAATAAAATAGCATGAGTCCATTCTGGTCTTCCTTCTGTCTATTCCTTTGTTAGTCTGCAGTTGTTTCTGATGTCTAGTCATTCTTTCTTAAAAAGTTCTTTCAGAGATGTATTGTTCTTACTATACTTTAATGAACAGAACAATTAGATGTATTTTCTGAAACTGTCTACTTATAGTCCATTAATTACCACCGTGAAATGGTGGACAGATCAATAATCTGTTCATGGGATGAAAACATCTAATATTTATGGACTTTGCTTTGACAATGTGTAGAAAAAAGGGAAATTGATATACACTTACTTGTGAGACAGGTATAAGGGAATGATTTCACTGCTATGAACAAAACATTTGACAAGTAATATACTTACCAAAGGAAATAAGAAGGATTGATAGTAAAATTAAGTTTAGAGCCTTAAATTGTTTTGTGAAGATTATATTGCTCAGGTAAATTTTATTGGAATGGGTAAAGCTCTGATAGTTTTCCATTGGCATTTATCTGTTTGAAATGCCTAATCCTACTTAATAGTACTCACATATTCTCCCTCAAAAATATTTGTACCTTCTGTTTCTTTAAAATAATCTTTTATTTGAGAAAGAAACTTACTTCAACTATTGAACTTGTACAACTTGAAGAAGTATAAGAGGAAGAGCTATTTGAGCCCACCAGGCCAAGAGTAAGCTTCCAAAAGGTAGGACAGTTGGTATCAATAGCTTGTATATATCTCAGGAAAAGCCAGTGTAATACATAGAATATCAGTCATTTCAATAGAGAGTACTAAGCACTATACATTGATAGTTATTCATGTATAGTATCCAATTATAAACAAAAACTTTTGTTCTGAGCACCTTGCTGTCTATCTAGTATTGTCAAGAGCAGGCATGTAAACACCTTTAAAATCAATGATAGGGTTAACTTTTGGAAACTAGCTTTAAGAACACACCATAGTTGAGGCATTCATTGTTTACTGAAAACAGATTGTATAGAGTATCCTAGCATAACAACTAGAACTTCAGAATATTAGTGCTTAAAGCAGTTTATGTTTTCCCAGAAAAAACATATCATAGAAAATGTAATCTGTTAGAAACAGTATTGGGCATTAAGTCTAGCCTCATCTTTACATTAATAATGAAATAAAGGACCAGGAAAATTCAGTTACTCATTTGTTCAAATAACTCATTGGAAGTTAAGTAACTTGTCTTATTTGTAGCATAGGTGGCAATGTGACCTGTCTCTTGACTGACTCCAGTGCTTTTTTTTTGCTAAGTTATTTTGTGTGTGTGCCTGTGTTCAAAAAAAAAAAAAAATCTTGCATATGTCTTGACTCAGGGCCCATAGTATTATAAATTAATCCTGTGATAATAGCATTTCTCTGGTAACTACATTAATTCATTATTTATTTAAAAATAATGGGCATGGTGGAGTATACAGTAAGCCCAACACTTAGTGAAGCACTTAATTTCAAGGAGAACACCCTTGAAATCTCAAGAGCTAATGGTAGGGCTAATTTTGCTTTAGTGTAGTGGTCACTAACCCATTTTGAAATTTGATTATGTTTTTAGTTGGTGGTTTTACTATAGTTATGATGGGCTTCTCATTCAGACAAAGCTAAGTAACATTTACATGTTACTCAAAGTTTTAAAACATGAATATTAAGTAGGGAATAGTTATACTTAAATACTATTTTTTTTCAAAAGTCCCCAAAAGGCATATCTTAAATAGTTCACTATGATGCTAAGTATTTTTAAAAAATCAAGTGTTTGTGTAACTTATATGCATTCATATATTTTTTATAATTTTGAGACTAGGAGTTACCTTTTAAATTATTTAATCTAATCCCTTTAATTTATAGGTCTGAAAATTGAGCTCCAGGGGTGTGAAGGCTTATAGAAGCAGAACAAAGGCCTAAGTATTTTCTCAACCCAATGCCACATTCCCTAATGTATTCTATGTAATGACACAACCATGTATTTGCAATAATAATGTACACTGGAAAAAGAAAAGGTTTAATGAAGTGGTTTGTGGTTATTACTATCTGAAGAGATTGGTGATCTAACTAACATTTTAAAACCTTCTGAAGACTACCTTATTGGGGAGACAGGAGATGAAAAAAGTTCAGTTTGCTGATCTGAGTAATGAGTGATAGTGGATAAAGACCTCGACCAGAGTGGTAACTGAAAAATGACAAGGGAGAAACAGATAGGAGATGTTAAGGAAAATTGATGTAACGTTAGAATCAATAGAAGACAAAGACAAGTTTTTAGTCACAAATACCAGTATAAAAGCAAATAATGCCTAAGACCAAGGGTAATCTCCAGACTTAAATATAGTACTTTACAGGTTTCTTTTTTAAAACTTTGGGCACATATATTCACAATTATTTATTATTTATGGGATGTTTACATCGTGAAACAAATTTACATTAAAAATGATAAAATACTGATCCTAATTTAACTGTAAATATTGTTTGGTAGCAGTATCATTGAAATATGCTTTGATTTGGAAATTTAATGCATTACCATACAGTGATTCAAAGTCTAATTTCATGTTCTGTTTACTTTGATGCTTGGTTTTTAACTTCTGTAATAGGTGAAGAGGATACCTTTGGTATATCCAGGTGAAAACAATGATCTTTTCTAAATCATGATATTCAGTTTAAAATGTCTTTCACCAATTATGCAGTTTTGCTGAAATTTGACTACTAAATTTTTATTATTCCTAAAGTCAGTTAGTGACTAGGTTTTGAATTCAGGGCTTCATGCTTGCAAAGTAGGTGCTCTACCACTTGAGCCACACCTCTAGTCTGTTTTACTCTGGTTATTTTGGAGATGGAATCTTTGAACTATTTGCCTGGGATGGTCTCAAACAGCAATCTTCTCAATCTTAGCCTCCCAACTAGCTAGGATTACAGGCATAAGCCACTGGTGCCTGGCTAATACTAACCATTTTTTTTAATTACTTAAAATGCTTCAAATGAAAATTTTTCAATAGAAGATGTGGTTTCAATCTATATAGCCACATATTGTTTGTTGGTAACAACAGTCAGGTAATGATGCAATTATTTTCTCCATAAAAACTTTAATTTGAAAAACAGTAACTTTTTCATTGTTATAAATGTTCCCTTTATTTTATACAGGCAAACTCAGAATGTTTATGTTTTTCAAAAACATAAGATAAATACTCAGGCACTTATCATGGAAAAGAACAGCCAATTAGGGATAGCTTTCTTCTTATAAAACATGTAACATCTTTAAATTTGAAAACTTATTAAAAGTGTTTTACTGTTAGATAACCATGATTAGAGGACACCATGATCATTCTCATTTCATTTCAAAGTATTGTAAAGACTTGACTGTATTTTTAAGGGAATGTTTTCATAAAATTAACCATATTGAAGACCTTTTACATTTTTGCTTCAATTTGTGATAGTAACTTACTTTTGAATGAATTTGATACATGGTATTCTATAACTTTACTCTGGAATCTATAATTCATTTAAAGTAAGACAGATATCCCATAGTGCCTTAACTTACAGAGATTCCCCCAAAACTCTCTTTTGATCAAAAAGTTATTATTTAAATAATGTGGGTTTTTTTTTTTTTTTACATACCTTTCCTATCTCTTTTTGAAAAAGCTTTTAACTATCTAGGAAAGTAAGATTTTAAAATGTTAATGTAAGGTCTTCTTATATAAGTATTAGAAGAGTTGAGTGATAAAGATTTTTAAGACTATAGGAGAGTAATTAAGTTATGAATTGAAGTAGCTAGTGGCTTGTCGGGGGAAATGAATGGGACAGTGGAAACGTAGATTTTAGCCAGGGGTGTTATAGTACACCTATAAATCCTAGCATTTGGATGGCTGAGACAAGGATGAAGAGTTTGAGTCCAGTCTGGGTTACATAAGCCAGACCTTTCTCACACACGCACACATACAGAAAGTTTTTTGTTCTTGTTCTTAAAGATAAAATTTAGATAGGTTTATGGAAGTTGTAGGCGAAAGAAAGTGACATGAGAAAAAGGCACAGGAAAGAGAATAGCAAGGTGAATTTTGTCAATGTGGCAGAGACTAGGTTGGAGAAAAGAATTTGATGTGTGATAAGTGAATGAATAAATGTTTAGACATAAGGAATTTTATCCTACAATAAACTGCTGTAGGGATCAAACCAATATGTAGAAGCATGCAAACTGATCTACAGCTTTATAGACATGTTGTCTTCTTTAAAATGGCTACCAGGGATGGGGGAAGTGGCTCAAGTGGTAGAGCATTTGCCTAGCAAGAGCAAGTCCTGAGTTCAAGCCACAGTACAGCAAAATAAATAAAATAAAGTAAAATAAAATGGCAAACAGTTTAGGGAAAAGAAATCTTCCTTCTTGAAGAAAACATTAAGCCCACTCTACAGAGGATTCTGAAAAGAAAAGTGAGATGTAACAGCTGTGATTTCTCCCTATCATTGTGAAAGACACAGATTGAATAGAAGTAATGGAGGGAATTGTATTTACCACACTGCAGCGGGTAGCAATAAGTTGATGACTTAACAAAGGATTAAGTTAATGTACATGCCGAATCTATCACTGAAAACATTCTAAAAAAATCCACTATGCATGTATCGGAGAGATAAAGTTGTCAATACTACAGTGGTTTACATGCTTCCTTACTTACTTTGGAGGTATTAAATTCAGTATCATACAAAAAAAGCCATCATACTATTTAAGGAAGGAGTGAAAAGTATTTTCAAACTTATTTGTTCTCTGACTTTTTAGGAAACCACAATGAAATATTTATTTCAGTTCTACTTCCTTTTTAGAGTGATTTCCCATAGGTGCTTCTTCAAAATATGTTCTAAGACCTAACAAGTAGATACAAAAAATAAAACTTCATATATATAGATATAGGTCTAGATAACTATATCTATATATATCTCCATATTTAGATTTTTTTTGAGACAGTGTCTCACTACCTATCCTAGATGGGCCTGGAACTTTTGATCCTTCTGCCTTAGGCTCCCTACAAGGGCTGGGTTTGTAGACATGTACCACCATGCCTGGCCCATTTATAATTTTTGTCTTTGAAAATTTACTTAGTTTACTAGTTTATAATAGGACTGGCAGGAGTATAAGTATATAATTTATAATCACATGTATAGAATACACATTAAGTATAGGAGGTGCAGTCAAAAACACACTCCACTTGATGCCGTGGCATGCACCTATAGTCTCAGCCAACTGGAGAGTGAGATAGGATGGCAGGATTGTTTGAGGCCAGTCTGAACAACATAGTGAAACCCAGAGTTGCCTGTGGGTGGGAGTGGTTTAATATACAGATTGTCTGGGCTTTCTCCTAGAAATTCTGATTGGGTGGTATAGATGGAGGCCTGGGAATCTGTTTAGCACAATTTCCATGTGTTTCTTATTTTTAGTGAAGTTTGTGGGAATTGGCAGTATACCTTGACTTCGACTTGAATCTACTTCTAAATCCCTCAGCACAGATGGCTGTATTATTGATACCTATCTATCCTTAAACAGTTAGAAAGACGGGCTGTCAGCAGCAGAACTATATTTAACAGTGACGTTTAGGTGTCCAGCTTAGCTTATTTCTTATGGTTTGATTGAGTGAAAAGCCAGCAGATAATAATTGAGTTTTAGGGGCAGTAATATATATGTGTAGAATAATTTACAATTTTGTTTATTTTGTGAAGTTTGATATTGTTTTTAATCAAGAAGTTGCTGCTACAGATCATTACTATGTTCTACCTAAACTAAAAAAAAAAAGGCTGATCAATAACTTTATATTTGCCTTATTTGTTATGAACGATCTAACATGCTGACATGTGGAAATGCAGAAATTATGTATATATGTATTTATGGTACTCAGGATTGAACACAGGGCCTCCCCCTTGTTAGACAAGTATTCTACCACTTGAGTCACACCCCCAGTCCTGAAATGTAGAATTTTTTTTAATAATAAGGCTGCTGGGTGTCCTTAAATAAAATATTTATTCAAAATGTTAAAAAGTGGTATAAGAAATAAAGCTAACATTTATTGAGTGCTTACTGTGAGCCAGGCACTGCTACAAGTAGTTTTTAATACTATATATTATTATTTAATCTTTACAACAATCCTATGAAGTTGAGTTTTTTTAGTAACCACTTGCAGAGGAATTAACTGATGGAGCACAGATTAAGTAACTTACCCATTGTTTATAGGATTTTTGTTTGTCTACTTGTTTTAATTTGGGAACACCCTTATATAACCAATAATCATTATGTTTGGATTTAATGATCCTTCCACTTATTTGACTGAATGATTCCTTTCCTTAAAATTTGATGTCTTCGAGTGTGGTGGCACATGTCTGTAGTTCCAGCTACCCTGCCCAGGAGCCCACGAGTTTAAGATCACCCTGGGCAATATAGTGACACCCTTTTTTCCTTATTTCTTCTTTGTTCATTTGTAAAACAAATAAAATCTCTTACTTTATTAACCAGGAAGTAAAAGTGGAATATAGAAATCGGTTTTTTAGTCTAAAAATGGGATGTTCAAATGTGGGAAAATATGCCATTTTAATACAAGTAAAATATTACTAATCACTTCAAATAAACATGCTGTCTGATGATTCATCTGATAAGTAAAATTTTTGAAGATTTTTTTTTTAACTTAAAGCATTGCTTATAGGATATAATTTTTTAGTGTCTGAGGTATTTTGTAAGCTTAGAAAGAAATGCTGGCAATTATTTGTGTTTTAATTGTTATACAGATAACACAGCCAGTTTCAATGTCTAGTTTTTTCTTAAGGCTTTAAGCTCAACTTAGTGTTTATAAATGTAATAATTTCACTAGGTTAGGTAACTAACCTTTTAAGATTGGCAAATTAAATTTCCTGAAATTTTTAAAATTTTATTTACTTTTTACAACTCTGGGGTTTGAACTCAGGGACTACAACTTGAGCCACTCCACTAGCCCTTTTTTATGATGTGTTTCTTTTTGAGATAGGGTCTTGCAAACTATTTTGCCTGGGTTGGCTTCAAACCGCAATCCTCATGATCTCTGCCTCCTGATTAGCTAGGATACAGGTATGAGCCACCAGCACCCGGCGAAATTGTTTTTTAATAAACAATGTGCATAATGAATCTATCAACTAAACAAATCTCATAAATCTAAATCTAGTAAGTCAAATTATTACAATCAAATTCAGTAAACCAAGTTTTCCTAAATATTGAACATTTTACAAACTTAACTTCTGTTACAAGTTTCATGTTGCAATGAAAGCTGATTCTCTGAAAGCATCTCTTGTATCTTATTACTGACCTTATCAACACATCTTTATCTTAAACTTGGCAAACTATAAATCTAAGTATTCAACAAAGGGGAGTAGAATTTTCCATCTTCTAGACTTCTACCACAACTTAGATTATGTATTTAGCATAAATAGAGGACAGAAGGGTACATGTGTCTACTGGTCAACCAAAGTGTGGTTACTAATTAGTGTTCTTTCTGCACCTTATCCCCAGCTTCTTATTACTAGATTCTTGGTCACCATTTTTAAGTGGAACTTAAGAACACTCATGCAAATTTAACTGAACATTTTTGGTTTTTTTGCAACCTGGTTCTCTTCCTTCCTAGAAGTGATGCATCCTGTTTTTCCCTTCAGTTCCACTTCATCCCTGTTTTAGTGGGATTTTCTAAGTCTAATTATGTACATACTGTGTAACCTTTGGCATTAAAGCCTATTTGTGGCTAAATTAGGTTACAATAATATTCCTCTCTCTTTTAAAACTTAATAGTTCTCTGGCCATTATTCATTTAAGTGATAATGATGATCAAGTTTAGAGTCATTTTACTGACGATGATGAAATTTAGTTTTTAATCCCTTTAAATTCATAAAGCCAAAATGATTTTTCTCTCCTAGGAATGCCAGAATCACCTCCGCAGATATGGAAATGTGAATCTGGAACTGGTGACTCGAATCATTAGAGATGGTGGCCCATGGGAAGATCCAGTGTTGCAAGCTGTTCTTAAAGCCCAGCCAGCACCTCAGGAAATAGGTACTTCAGGAGAATGAAAATGAAAACAAACATTCGTGAGATATAAACATAATTTTGTTTTCTAACTGGAACAGTAATAGTTTTCTTTATTTAGTAATACTGAATAGTGGAATAACATATTTTCAAATGAAAAATGTTTAATTTGTTCCTCTAACTTTGCACAAAATAATTTTTGACACCAGATTAGGTACATTAATTTATAGTAATGGGAATTGAGAGTGTTAACATATTTATGAAATGTTGATTAGAGGAGTTAGTTTTTGTCATTTGAGGCATATTATTAAAATATGTTTAAGTAGGAACATCTAAAAAAAAAAAAAACTAAACTTTTCACATTATATGGACGGAGTCCCTCCATAAGGGCTAGAACTTTTACTTTACTGACTCCACTATTGTGGTATATATATTACTGCAGTTAATTCAGTGACTGATGCAGAGTAGATGCTTAATGTGAGTATGTGGTGATTGGATGCATGAATGAATTACTTAAGTAAGTTTCAATTATAAATACTACAGAGAAGAATTTCTCAAACATCCTCCACTGATAAAAGTTGTTTCATCCCCTTACTACCTGCATCCTTCATTGACATTGGCTCCTGTCAAACAATGAGCCAAAATTTCTTTTTGAGGCAGGAAGCTCTGTTGGGTGTTCTGATCTAGTTACTCTTTTTGTTTACCATATTGTTAAAATGCTCTAAGCAGACTGTGTGACACCAAAAGAGAAGAGAAAAGACCTCCCAACCCAGGAACTAGTTAGATGTTGGTCTGGCAACAAACACACTTCACATCCCTAGAATGTGCTGGGCAGGTTAGAATATTTGCATTTGTCCCAGTTAATGAGTAGAATAGGTTATGAGTAGACCTGAGAAGAGAAGGGGCTGACTCTCAGGATGAAGAGCAAGCATGCAATAGACACAAGTGTGGAGTTATGATGCTGAGAAAAGATAAAGCAGTAAGACAAGAGAAGCAGTGCAAAATGGTGGAGTAGGATGGGAAATAGGAGGAGACTACAAAAAAGGCTGTGGAGAACCCAAGGGATATAAAGGAGACTAGTACTTGGTGTATGGATCTTGGAAAGGGATTAAAGAAAAAGGAAAACCCACGAAGGGAGACGGTTGAAGCTAAGGAGGAACAGTTGGGTTATTTGGGAGAATCATTAGTTAAATATAAAAAAGGCAAGGGTCACAACTGGAGAAAATGGAAAATGTTGCCAAAGGAGAAAATGGGTAGAGAAACACAAAACTTCAAAATGAGTGAGAACAAGGGAAAAGAAAGTTTGGGCTTTTAGGGGAGCTTTTAGGCTTCTCCAAGTAGTAGCTAGAACAAACCTATTACTGGTTGGTCTGAGGGTTGATGCAGCTTTAGACTGGGAATGACATTAAAATAATAAATATTCCTTTTAAAACTTCAGTAGCATACCTAAGTTTGTGAAAAGTTGCTCTACAGTCTCATTAATATGGATGACTTTAGTTAGTGATCATTAGGGCAAAGATCAGACTGAAGTTTATTTCTGTAAGAACTCTAAGTCAGTGTTTGCTTATCATACTGTTGTACAGTTATAAGGCAAATGTTTAAGCTAAAATAAAACATTAGTCAGTTGCACTTTGATAGCTACCGATTAAACATATATAAGTAATTTAAAAACTTTTATATTCAAAATCATAAAACAGGGATTCCAGTTTTGGCTTTGCTACTTAACTTTTTTTTTTGTCCTTGGGAAAGTCATTTGACCTCTCTTAGACTCTGTTTTGTGATCTCTAAAATAGATATCATAATACCTATCGTAAGGTTGTTGTTAGCTCTAAATAAATTTGCATAGGTAAGTTGCTGTGTGAAAGCATAAGTCAGTAATTATCCTTAGTGATATATTGAACTTACATTAATAAGCCAGTCCTATTGACATTTTAGATTAATTTTATAAAAAGTAGTAAAATAAATACATCTTATGACCCAAATTTTCATTATTTTAGATTACATTTCTCTTTAATTAATCAGAATTAATATGATTTTAATGTGCTAATTTGGATTCAGTCTTTTAATCATGTAGAAATGAAATACTAGGCCTAAAGAAGATAAAGTACATAATCTTAAACAAGAAAGGCATCATAGACTCTGCTACTTGAAAAATATTTTTAACATATTCATGAACTAAAAAAAGAAAACTTAATTTCTTCCCTTTTTAGAATTTTACTTTTTTATTATTTTTTAGACTGAGAAGAATTCAACTAGTATTTCCCTTATTTTCATTTTTCTAACTATGCAATTGAATGTTCTTTGCACAAATACAGTTCTACAAAAGACAATATTATTGAATTAAATAACCGGTTAATCTACTAAAATGCCATATTTAAATGTCAAAGTTTGAATCTTTTTAAAGTAATAATCTGTTTTCTTTTCAATACAGTAAACAAGTACTTAAGTTCTGAAAATCCACTGTTCTTTGAGCTACGAGCAAGATACCTAATTGCTTGTGAACGCATACCTGAAGCAATGGCTCTTATTAAATCATGTATAAATCACCCCGAAATCAGTAAAGACTTATACTTCCACCAAGCACTCTTCACATGTCTGTTTATGTCACCTGTAGAAGATCAGCTTTTCCGGGAGGTATTGTTGGAGACTGTTTTTACCTATTAACAATTTTAACCCTATCAAGAAATAAAAAAGATAGACTATTGTAGAATTCCTTTTGATGTAATACCAAAGATTTAAAGATTATATTATCTAGCATCACCTAAATACGTTTTCTTTGGTCACCATTCTTTAAGTTCATGGTAAATAGACTCTGATATTATCAAATGATGAAATTCATAAATAAACTGACTAATAACTATTATTTCAACTTTTGGTGTGACAAAAGAGGATTATGGTTTTGCCTTTTAAATAAAGTACTAAGAATTTAAATGCTTTTATTTTTCATCTTAAAAAAATAAAATAAATACATCTTTCCTAAAATGGATCCTACTTACCCATAGGTCATGGACATTAATACAATTTCAAGTGGGGGTGGCAGGGAGGTGGCCCATGTGAGTAAATGTAAAAATGATTTAAAAAAAAAGATTACAAGTACTTACTGTAAAATGTATGTAGGTACAATACAGTGAAACTATGAAACCATGAAAATATTTCTATGGTTCATAATTGTCTTTGTAGAAGAAAACTAGAAATCTAAGTATTTTCTTCTGAGTATTTAAACATTCACTGATCGGTTTTAGACATTCTTAGTGGTATGAACTGATCTTTCTTTTCTTACAGCATTTACTGAAAACTGATTGTAAGAGTGGAATTGATATCATCTGTAACACTGAAAAAGAAGGAAAGACTATGTTAGCCTTGCAACTCTGTGAATCCTTTCTTATTCCACAGCTCCAGAATGGGGATATGTACTATATATGGTAAGTGTTCCTAATACAGAAATTGAAATGGTAAAGAGAGGAACAGAAGGAGAATTGATTAGGAAAGTTTGCAGTTTATATTTTCATTAAAATTGTGTGAAACGTTAAGCTACTATTTAAAAAAGTTAGTTGTGCAAAAGCCAGTATTTGTAAGAAGGAACTAGATATTTCAAAAAGAAAAAGATCACGTCACTAATTGTTTTGTAATTGAAAGTTTTAGTTCACTTTTACAAAGTACATTCCCTAAAAAATGTTTACATTATAAGTAATTTTCATATAATTACATGTATACTCTTATTTCACACTCATTCCCTAAGAATCCATAACTCAGTTTTATTAAACTAAGTGATCACAAAATCAGAAAGTGCAATGTAAGCATTTTGTCACATGCCACTAATTGACAGTTTAAATGTTTAAGATATTTGTTATAATGAAACAATTATGCTTAAAATTAAATTTGAGCATGAGTTATTAAAAACATATTAAACTATTTATAAAAGTTATTGGTAGGATATTTGAAATAGCAAGTTGCCTTGCAATCATGTAATTTAAAATGTGGTTTCAGTACCTTTTCTTCAAGTGCTACTAGGTGAAGTCATGCTTGTAATTTTTAAGATATTCTCTCTCCTCCAGGACACACATAACCACCCCCAAAAAAAAATAATCCTACCAGTTTGCCATATCATTAATTCTTAAGAGAAAATTTAGCTTCATTTGCTAGACATAATCTTCTAAAATGATCATGGGCTATAAACATTTTTTAATCAATGCTTTTGAATTTTAAATTCTTAAATACTGAAGATAATTCTTTGAAGGCATATAGCTTCAAAGCATACTTGAACATTCTTGTTTTATAGATTAAAATGTTCAGACATAGAGACAGACTCAAATAACTAATTAGTAGTGGGACTTGGACTAGAAACAAGTACAGTTCGAAGGGAGTATACTTTTAGTTAGATTACGCTAATGTTATTCAAAAGTATAGGATACAAATGAAGAGAGAAGGAGGCAGTAGTTAGACATTTTTAAGTAGTCTTGAAAGTATTGTCATTTTTAATATACAGGTACTCCAAAATGAATTCTAGTCAAAACTGTTAATAATAAAACTTTTCTGATAGGAATAAGAATGTTCTCTGCCCTTAGTTCTACAAAACTATTTAAACAGGGTATCTTTAGTCTTTTACCAATAAGTAACAAACATATGCAAATGAAACAAAAACAGGAAAATTCATTTTCTTCTCCTCTTGGCTAACAAATTTCTGCTTTTTAGGGAGGGTCCTTAAATTGGAACAATGCCTATTTTCTGGCTACAGGCCAAGGTAGCCTCTAAGGATAGAATATCCAGAAAGATGTTTTACCTGCGTGTTTTGACCCTTCTGTTTTGAAAGCCTGAATTTTGATGTCCTGCCCTCCTGTGTCTTCTATCCTCTATAATTTTTGAATACCAGAACCATTTTTCTTACTTCTAAAAGTTTTTAACTGTAATTTAAAGGACAGAGTTTTCTTTAGCCTTTTTTGTCTGTTTTATACTGGCCTGCTCTATATTTACCCACTCAGTGAACAGAACTGAACCCATTATTCATTCTTGCTGTATCTCATTTAAGACAATGGGTCAAGCTCCTACCCCCATTTATCTTTTTACTATTACTAGTAACAATAACAATGATGATAAAAAGAGCAGCTGCTGGGAGGGGGTGGAGTGGGTGGTAAGGGAGGGGGTGGGGGCAGGGGGGAGAAATGAACCAAGCCTTGTATGCACATATGAATAATAAAAGAAAAAAAAAGAAGAAGGAACAAGAAAAAAAAAAAAAAAGAGCAGCTGCTAAAAATTAGTGGATACCTATACTCTATTCTTTATATATGCATTTATCTCATTTAATCCAGCAACAATATAGAATAAATAATAATGTGTTTAAGCCATTCACTTAGTAAATAGTGATGCCAGGATTCAAATAAGCAACTTAACAGTATCTGCTGCCAAACATTATGTACTATAAATGGGTCAAGTTTAAAAAAAAAAACCTCAATGGTATAAAGGTGAACATAGACCCTGTTATAAGTCTTTACTTTAGACACTAGATAGCCCAATGATTTTTTTAGTATTTCAAAGGGTCCTTTATTACCTGGGAAGTATGTTTGTACACTGAACGGGCACTGTGTTTTCTAAATGATCCTCTGACCAAAAGAATATGTAAGCTTCATTTAAGTTGCCCTTTTGGATTTCTGAATGAAGTTTTTGGGCAGGTTTTCCTTGTTTATTTTTGATCTGCTTCCAAAATCCAGTGTCCAAGAAAAACCTAAGATCCCATTTAATAAATGCATTTAAAATGGAGTTTTATAACCATATTCTGAGATTTCTGCATTGCCTGCTAGAAAGCTGAGCTCTATCTGATAGACCTCTTCTGGCTTTTGTTTTACGAAGTTTTCTGCTGATTTAACAGAGACAAATGGAAATGAGATGTTTGTCTTAAAAATTATTTTGTTCCTTAAGAATAAAGGACTAAATTAGAAAGTAAGTATGTATGTTCACTTATGTAATTGTCTCTCCCTTGATTTCCAGTTACAATTTTTTTTAAAAATATGTTGTTGAGATATTCCATATCTTCTTAAATATAGTTTATCTGTTTACCTTCTCCATCCATATCCCTTTTTTCATAAAAATACTTCTGATTGAAAATGTTCTTCATCATCCTTTATCTCAGTCCATGTATATACATCTTACTATTTTTCCCTCAGGAGACTTCAGCATTTAGGAATACAGTAGTTACCAGATTACCAGGACAGGACAGATTATAGGTCAGTAGTACTAGCATGTTTGAAACCATGGGTTCCAAAAGCACACACACACAAAAAAACCTTATCAGGCAACAGATATTTATTGAATAAACCCACTGCTTGGTATTAGGGAGGTTGTAAAACAAGGAATGAATATACAAAACTAGTGATTAATTAAACACCAGTATATGTTAGATATTTCATTTGTCTCTCTTGATTCTTTCATTAAAGAGTTAAGTTAAATAGAATAAGGAAAAAGATTTTAAAGAAAATAAATTGAGCATTGACTTTTTAACTTTATTTTTAAAATACCAGTCACTATATCCACATCAATAAATAGCTCTCTTCCCTAATCATGTCTCTGTAGATAACTTCTGAAACCAAAGAATTTAATGAAATAAGTGTATCTTTAAAATCATTGTTTTCAAACATTAAAACAAAACAAATGAAACCCAAAAACTCAAGATGCTGAATAGCAATAATCTCATATTATGTGTAAGAAAACTGTAGATTAAAGAGATAAAAATCACACAGCTAGTATAAAACAAAATGGGAATTTAGACGAGATCCAGGGGCATTCAGGGTGGTATGGCGGTAGATTATAGTTGGAATTTAGACAGTTTGCAAGTAACAGAACTATATCTAACTAGTATAGAGAAATGTTAATATTTTTTGAAAGCATGCTGGAGTATGATATGAACGAGAAGAACATGGACACAATTGATCCTTAAAGATAATTGCTACCAGGGACACTTGAGTTTGCATGTATTTTTCAAAAATCTGTTTGCTCCACTCTTGGCCTCATTTTCCCTACTGCAGACCAGCAGTAACACAAACAGTTCTCAGGCTTCATAGTTTAGAGCTGAGAACACCCCAAGGACTCTGGCCTGACCTGGGTTAGTTTCCTACTCTTGAATTAATATCTTAAGTTGGGAGGAAGGATCACATAGGAGACATGGTCACAGGGTTCCACTTTTGTATGTTAGGGTATTCTCAGAAGAGCTTGGCTCACTGTGAATGCAGTAGTACCACTCCATTTACTGCATAATGCTATACTGAAATCTAGGTCTCTCTTATTCCCAGGTCCATGTTCTCCACTAAATAATGTATCACTGGAAATATTTACAGTGTAATAATAGACCCTACATATATATGGGAGCATATGAAAGATATAAATGTTCTCCCTCATATGCGGACTTTAGATCTAGGGCAAATGCAGCAATGTGGTTGGACTTGGGACACAGACAAGGGGAGAGCACATATGGGAGATACAGGAATAGGTAGAAAACCCAAAACATGAAAGCATTTGATGTCCCCACTCCAGAGGAACTCATACAGAAACCTTAAAGCGAGAGAGGTTAACATGAGAAGGGGATCAGGAACCAGTGTAAAGATCAGTTAGAGATGAATCAACTTGGGTTGTAACACATTTGTACATGAAAGCAATGCTAGGAATCTCTCTGTATAGCTGTCCTTATCTCAACTAGCAAAAATGCTTTGTCTTCCTTATTATGCTTATGTCTTCTCTTCAACAAAATTAGAGGTAAGGGCAGAACAGGTTCTGCCTGGAAGTGAGGGAGGAGGGGGAGTAGGGGGGAGAGATGACCCAAACAATGTACGCACATGTGAATAAATGAATAATAAAATTTTTTTTTTAATTTCAAAAAAAATCAGTATGAAGGATAAGATGTATTCTGAACTAGGCAACCCTTTAGTTTGGGGTGTTCATGAAAGTTTATGTGAAGACACACTTTGACATGGTCATTGCAGAACAAATCATCTTAGAAATGAAGAATTACTTTCCAAGTAAAGCAAAAATGAGAAGAAAGGATATAGTCTTTCTGTTGCTATCAATACTAAATAACATATTGAAAAAGCACTAAATAAAATGATCAAGGAAGCTAGAAACATCAGCATAGCAACCACTATAGAAATATAAGTGTAAAATTAAAGGGCATAAGGTGGCACTGGGAAGGGGGACATAGGTGAGAGCAAAAAATGTAATTCAAATACAGACACCAGAAAATAAACAAGATCTAACAGGAATGTTTACTATTAATGGTTGTTCTAGAAAAGATCAAAAGCATACTGCATACCTGTCTGAATTCCTAAATTGGGAACAGCAGAAGATCATGATGGACCATTGGAAAGCCCTATCTCTAAAGGACCCTTAAGTGCAACTCAAGCAAGCAACAGTCTTAATATACTACCAAGGATGCTGCTGTTTGCAGCTACTGCATACTGGACCCCCATGTGGAAAGGAGTCCAGCCAGCCTAAATATGTCCACAGATTTAATACTTGTATGTGCTGGACTCAAAGTACATACTCAATGAATCACATTTTTACACATTTCATTAATTATTTTAGTACTTTTATGTTATGATGCTGTGTATAACTTTATGACAAGTTCTAAAGAATACTAATTTGCTAAAAAATGATATTCAGATATATCAATTATGTCAAATGATTTGCCTCAAAACCCGCTGCTCTTAGCTATGTTCATCCAATACTTGGCTAGATATTAGAAAATAATCTACCTATGAAGTACACTAAATAGTGTATGCCTTGTCTGTTTTAAAGTACTACGTTATTAGAAACCAAATGATCTAAAGTATAAAACTTCAGAATCAATACAATATACTTAAAACTGTTAATCTGTATTATTTTTGGTATCTTGATAGACTGAAAATAGTCTACAACACTGGTTTCTAAATTTTCAAGTAAGATATTGAAAACCAAAGTTTATGGTTAAGTTCTATCATTGATATTGGTACAGTGGGATTAGAACTTCTGTTTTGATCCAGTACTATCGATGTCTTAGGTATGCCAGTATATCATGGAAATTCATTCCTTATTAAGAAATTTCTGATCTCCTTTCCTCCCAACCTTTTTTAATCTCATATAGGTAGCCCAAGTAGCCTAGGGGTTAATATAATACACATTTACAACCACTTTGTATATATCCCAGCTAGGGTAATATGGAATGTTTTTTAATAAACTGTATTTTTGATATTTCTCTTTTTTTCTCATTTGCAGGGAGTTGATTTTCATATGGAGTAAACTACAGCTAAAATCTAATCCTTCAAAACAAGTTTTTGTAGATCAATGCTACCAGCTTTTAAGAACAGCAACTAATGTGAGAGTCATATTTCCTTTCATGAAAATCATTAAAGATGAGGTAAATAGGATATATTTATCCCTCGAATTTTAAATTAAACTTAAATGACAACTTACTGAAACTTGAATATATTATAAAATTTATTTGATTATAAAATTCAAGGTAACGAGAATTTTAAGGCCACATTCTCCATGTATTACATCCTCCTCTCCCTCAGCTCCAAATCTCCTATATATTATGAAGGGTATGCATAAAGAGAAGAACTGAAATAAGATAAAAAGCCAATTTATTGTTGCTTAAAATTTAACATGGGGACAATTGCTTCCATAAGAACCTATTATTTCTTTTCTTGTAACTAAAATAAGTTTGTCACTTTTAAATATTATCCTGAGTCCCACTTGTAGAATCATAATTTGCAAATGAATTTTATTATCTATAGGTAATGTCTGTTCCCTGTCACAGAGAAACTTAGTTAATAGTTTTAACTGGTGTTTATGTCAACAGGAACAATAATTCAAAGATGTTTTTGAGACTTAAGGACAAGTTTTAAAGTATTTATTTGAAGTAATTGTAAGAACACATTACCTGTTTTTAAAAATAGACCTGAATCAAACTTTTCTTGGTCCATTTGCCAATTTGTATAATTCTACATATGAATCTTACATTGACATTTCTCCCTCAAATATTAACAAGACCTGAATGCAAAGAGGAAAGATAAAATCACCCTACAGTTTTAGCTCCATTAAATTGACTCTTTATGTGAGTTACTTATAAGTATATAAGGAGGCATCAATTATATAATGTGTTTTAATTTTTTCCTCTAAACCTCCCCCTCTCCCCAATGTTAACAAGACTTTCAATAGAAAAACAGGAAAGATAAAGCCAATCATTTTGAGGGTTACTTTTTAAATATGTAAGGAGGCAGCCATTAAATAATACAATTTTTTTCTTATGCTTTTATTACATTCATTATTATATCACTCATTAGATATGAGTGTGTAGTGATCACATTCCCATGATATAAAGTTGGCAGCAAAGTATCAAAGGATTTTTTTCCCTTTTTAGTTCTAATTTATTTTGCTAACTGTATTCATAACATCCTTACTATATAGTGAAATATCATTCAGATGTTATTGTCAATGGTCAACCCTTCCCACCACCAAAAATGAGAAATAAACTATGGCACAGAATATTTGTTCACATTTCATGTCTATCAGAATCATCTGTAGAACTTTATTTTTTAAAATAAAGATGTATCCATAAATATGTATATGTGTGTGTGTGTGTGTATATATATATATATATATATAGAGAGAGAGAGAGAGAGAGAGAGAGAGATACACATATATGTATGACTGTCATTGAACCAAAAGCTGAGAAAAGTTATGGCAAGTTTATGTTCTGCTGCTTATTACAGAACTTTCTTCTTTTCACGTATCTAGTCAGCCTAAGAATACATCATATGAGGAAAAAAATCAAAGATGAAGTAAGCATTAAAATATGATGCCTAAAAATTTATATTCTACTAAAAACACTTTTGTTTGATGTAACGATCATTCATTTCCCTCAGTTTTGTGAAAAAGTGTAGTTACACTGCTGTGTGAGTTCAGGAGACATTACAGACAGTATTATCTGAAAAGGCTTCACAGAGAAAGAGACTTTAACCTGGGGTTTGAGTAATAAGACGAAGGTACTAACATTTGTAGAAGATTTTATAGTTTACAGTGCACTTTTCCCTCATTTTGTCATTTGTTTTTCATGTTCTGTGACATTAATAAGAATAGTAGAGAAACTTGGTCAAGTAGGTTAGATGGGAGATGAGACAAATCTGAATGACTGTGGTGGTGTTGGGGTGGGGGAGCATACTTCTTGAAGATCCTAAAGGGATCTAACACTTCACTAAATGTTGTCACTACAGTTCATAAATACTCTGAAACTATTAAAAGATACCAGATAAGGAACTAGTCTGATCCCATTTTTGATGATCTTAGAATTTTTAAGCTTGAGCATCTGAACATAGTATATAATCATAAGAGACAAGAAAGAGGATGTATATATAGAACTTAGGAGAAAGTGAAGAATTCTGTTTTGAACCAATGAATTTAGAATTTGTTATACCTGGAAAATCTAGATGGGAAAATTAATTGTAATAGACATAAGAATTTGAAGTCAGAAAGGATTCTAAGCCTGAGATGATGGGTTTATAAGGGGAAACTAAAATCAGTTGAATAAATCTCATTTCTATTCATTCTGCAAACATTTATTCAGTTAATTTATTATTATATACAAACTTCTATACTAACCATACAGGAATACAAAAAATTAAACACTGTACCCAAGGATGTAGGAAAATTCAAAGTCAAGGGGTAGGGGCATATATAAATAGTTACAAAACATTATGTAAATGCCCTTAATAAATAAATATATTATTCTTAGTGGGACCATCATGGAGTATTTAACTGTACCTAGTGAGGGGTGGTCAGAAAAGATATGTAAAGAAAACCTGCAGAGTAGAACTAGTTACCAAATAATGAATAGGAGATGTAAGAAATTACTGGCTGCATAACTGGAGACATTTTTGCAAGTTAAGGCCTGCTTGTGGAACTGTAAGTTATTAAGCAGGGTTACACAACACATAAGAGACTAAGAGGACATAAAATAGTCTTCCTCTCTATAATCTATAGCCATATACAGGCAGTATGACACATAACATTTTATATATATTTATGATTTTCAAGACATATTATGGTGTCCTGTCCTATTAAAACAAGTATTTAGATTATTCCAAACCATTAGAGACCTTTATGACTCGAACTAAAATGAATCAACAAAGCTGATAGTTATCTTTGAGACATTAGAAAAAGCTTGAGTAATTTTCAGATAATTTCCAGTAGGCTTATTATTCTGATACTTGATTTGATTTGGAAAGATTATAATTAACTTCTTCATTCGTGCTGTATTTTCTTCCTTATTTGGATAATTAATATTAGTTGGGGTGAGAGGCCGTAGCTCAGTGAAGAGTGCTTGCATAACACGCATGAGGTTCTGGGTTTGGTCCCCAGCACCAAGATAATAATACTTAATCAGTAAAATAAATAACATTTAATATAGCATTATAAGTATTTCCATAGACGTCTTTTAACTATTTTAGTTATTTCTTAACATGGAAAATTGATATTATCTATTTAAAATTATATATTAGCCCTCTGTCAAAGAATGTGAGACTATTACCTATAATAATAAAGTAAGTCTATAGTTGTAAGAAAGAAATCTTAATCATCATAAGTTTATGAAAGATTTTACAGTTAATAAGTCTTGTCAAACTTGAAAATTAAAAAAGTGGAAGTTAAAATGTCTATTTCAGATTATTCTTGTTTTTTTTTTTAAATTGCACATTGGAATACTGTATGCTGAAAGTTTTCTTTTCAGGGTTGCATTTTAAAAAGATAAAGTGGGTAATATAATCACTGTTTTTCTTTTTTGTTGTTGTTGTTACAAAGTATTCACTAGTAATATTTTTCTTTTTACAGGTTGAAGAAGAGGGCTTGCAAATTTGTGTCGAAATATGTGGTTGTGCTCTACAACTTGACCTTCATGATGATCCTAAAACTAAGTGTCTAATTTATAAAACAATTGCACATTTTTTGCCAAATGATTTGGAGATCCTCAGGATTTGTGCACTCTCAATATTTTTTCTTGAGCGTTCCTTAGAAGCTTATCATACTGTTGAAGAGCTTTACAAACGACCAGATGAAGAATATAATGAAGGCACAAGTAGTGTTCAAAATCGTGTTCGTTTTGAATTACTTCCAATTTTGAAAAAGGGATTATTTTTTGATCCTGAATTTTGGAACTTTGTAATGATTAAGAAAAATTGTGTGGCATTACTGAGTGATAAGTCAGCAGTAAGATTTCTAAGTGAAAGTACACTGGAAAATTCCACAGGTATTCTAAAAAAGACAGAACAGCAAGTTTTGGATGAAGGGCTTGACTCTCTTACAGATCAGAGCACTGGAGAGACTGATCCTGATGATACATCTGGGATGCAACCTAAAGGTCATGTTAATACCAAGAAAAACCTTACAGCTCTTAATACCTCCAAAGTAGATCACAATGTCCCAAGGCATCGGTGTATGTTATGTAACAAGGAATTTCTTGGTGGTCACATTGTAAGGCACGCCCAGGCTCATCAGAAAAAAGGCAGTTTTTCATGTGTAATATGTGGTAGGAAATTTAGAAACAGAGGACTTATGCAAAAACATTTAAAGAATCATGTTAAGAAGATACAGAGACAGCAAATTGCTTCAGTGCAACAGGATGATCAGGAAATCACAGCTTTGGAAGAAATAAATTGTTCCAGTTCTTCCATTTCATTTGAAAATGGAAATTCTGATAAGGATTTGGAAGTAGACACTTTGACTGCTTCCAGTGACAGAGACAAAGAAGTCATCCCTGAGCACGTGGCAGAATTCATTGAAATTCCCATAGGTGTATCAGAACATGTTATTGAAAACATTATTGAAAATGGCAGTTCTGATACTTCTTTAAATAACATCTCAGAGCCTTTACCTCAATGTGAGAATGACTATGAAGAGGAAGAAAATGAAGTTGATTATGAAGAAGATGATTATGACCTGAATCAAGAAACCTCAGTACTTCATAAAATCAATGGAACTGTAAGCCATCCGAAAGACGTATATGCTACAGACCAAGAAGGAAACTTTAAGTGTCCTGCTCTTGGCTGTGTCAGAATATTTAAAAGAATTGGATTTCTAAATACACATGCAAGGACTGTACATCCAACTGATTTAAATGTGCGACAAACAGTAATGAAGTGGAGCAAAGGAAAATGTAAATTTTGTCAAAGGCAATTTGAAGATTCTCAGCATTTCATAGATCACCTTAACAGACACAGCTATCCAAATGTGTACTTTTGTTTGCATTTTAATTGCAACGAGTCCTTTAAGCTGCCATTCCAGCTTGCTCAGCACACAAAAAGTCACAGAATCTTTCAAGCTCAGTGTAGTTTTCCAGAATGCCATGAGCTTTTTGAAGATCTTCCTCTGCTATATGAACATGAAGCTCAGCACTATTTAAGTAAGACACCAGAGTCCTCTGTACACCCAAGTGAAGCAATTCTTTTGGATGTTTGTACAGACTCAAATCCTACTCATCAGGAAAAAAACTCATCTAGTAATGATAAACAAACTATTAGTCTGCCAGTTTCTATTAGCAAATCTAGGAAAGATTTTACAGAACCAAAGACATGTATGGAAAGTATGGAAAAGAAAACAGACAGTTTAGTTCAGAATGGAAATGAACATTCTGATGACGCTGTTTCAAATATAAGCTTGACAGACCAAAAGATGCCTGACATAGAGCCAAATTCTGAAAATAGTCATAGCATTAGTGATTTAGTCAATGGACACAGAGAAATAGAGCAAACATCTTTAGTTTCATCAGATCCTGGTTTGAAAACTGATACAAGCAGAATCAGGACAGAAAATGGTTCTGCTTTACCCAGTGTCGTACCACAAGAACACAATGCTCTGCCAGTATCTCAGGCACCATCCAAACCAAATGTTACAAGTGAACATACTTCATATGGCTTAATTTTAACAAAGCCGTATGTCAGACCATTGCCTCCCAGTTACCTTGATGAACGGTACCTTAGTATGCCAAAACGCAGAAAATTTCTGACTGATAGAGTAGATGCCTGCTCTGATCAAGAAAACCTTTATAAAAAATCAGTGAAAAGATTAAGATGTGGCAAATGCCTGACCACCTACTGTAATGCAGAAGCACTTGAGGCTCACCTTGCACAAAAGAAATGTCAGACACTCTTTGGATTTGATTCAGATGATGAAAGTAAGTCTTCTATGTTCTCAGTAGATATATCTGTAGAAATACAAATGGAAAATATAGCTATAATAGATCTTCATGAGACTAAAAAAATTAATATCTGTATACAATAGATGGTAAAGCACTACCCCACACATTATTTCCTTTAAAGTATAATTGCTATAAGGTGTTCCTGCTTTATAAACAACTGAAATTCACAAGTTAAGTAATTTGCATAGACATAGGCCTTATCAGCTTGTGGAAGCCAGAACTTAAACACAGGTTTTTCATATTCTTTGGTCCTACTCTTTCTTCATTCCAAATTTCATGTAGTAAAAATTATATTAACAAAGTTAGGCAACATTTTTCATCTGCATGGCAGAATGAAACTGAGTCTTGTTACAAAAATAGAAGTAAAAAAAAGAATAAGAAAATAACTGAAAAACAAAAGGAGCAAAAGAAGAGCCTGCCTTTCTACTAATATCATATCCTAACTTTAAGTGAAGGTATAAATTAAGCAGGAATCTGACTCAGAATTCCAGTTGAACATGTATAATACTTGAATTAACAGACACGTTCTGTTTTACAGGTGCCTGATAAAAACGTTTCAGAAAGATCTGTCGATCAAGCAGTAGTGTGAAAAAAGCACTACGAGAAAATGCATCATCAGTTTGCTATTTCCCTGATGGCCTTAATTTTAGAGTGGTCTCAGATTTCTAAAAATAAAGCACATTTTCTGGAATGAACTCAGAGGAGATGTGCTGGCTTAGACTCCAGATGGGTTATTATTAAACTCCCAAAGTACCAGTTATCCAGAAAAACCACATTTTATAAAAGCTTATGGTGATTAATAGCAGCATGTTCAGTTTTGCTTATGTGAAAACATGTTCAGGCAACTAGTCAGAAAAACCAGCTATGGCCTTATGGAAGGAGAAAAAGTGGAAGGGGAGCGGCTCACAATAATAAACAATGTAAAGCATTCTGCAAATGGGATCTGTTTACTTGTCATGCATAATCACATTACATCTTCCCTTTTGGTCAAACTTGTTTTAAGGTATCATTGCTGTTTGGTTTGTACATAATTTAGAAACTGATACATAGCTTGATTATCACCATGCTATGTTAAAGATTGTAACTTGTTTCCAAATGATTACTTTGACAGGTTCGGTGAGAGGCATGCCAGCATTGAAAATTTAAAAAAACAAAACAAAAAAAACCAGTGCTTTGCCAATAAACTCTTGATAAAACCTTCAACTTTCCACTTTTGTAATGCAAATTAATTATATTTGAAAGGCTACAGAGTAGAAATTAAAGAGAAAAGTACCATCAGCAACTTTGGGGGAGATATGGGAGGAATGTAAGACCATTACTGGCTATACAGTTGAAGGAAAACACTGAATTGCAAATTCTTCAATGTGAATAATGGTAAAAACACACTGGGATATTTCTATCTGTATATAGTGTTAGGACATTGCTTGATGATTCATAATAAGGTCCTTTAGACATTAGTGTGAGTTATCTAAGTAAAATCCTATGGAAATAATTGGCTTAAAAATATGTGGGCTAAGAATCACGTGGAGAATTCATTTTATTCAGCTAAGAGAGTTAATTCCAAAGTAAGCCATACTAATATATTTTATTCATTAGTGATGAATTTGGTCTGAATAGTAATTTTTTTATATATGGAAGTATTTATGCCAAAATTTGCACAGCAGGAACACAGTAAGAGATATATAAATACATTATTTCCCTTGGTAACCAGTACTTTTCCTAAGGAAGATTTTAACTTAATAAATTATTAAAACAATAAGTGTTTTACAAATGTTTTTTAAAATACCTTATGTTTCCCATTTGTCCATTATTAAAAGGATGCCTAAGATCTTTTATCTACTTTGTATAAAGCAGAAATAGAAAAATGTAAAGGCAAATTCTTTAAAAAACAGTCAAATATGCCAGTGTCAACCAAATATTCCAGTTGTTCCAATTGGTGAGGTTTTATTCAAAGCAGATAATCTCATAAATTATAATAATATACTCAACTATTATAAATTTTAGAACTTTTTGAATGAAATTACTAGGGAAATGGGAGAGTTCTTCCAGGGTGGCATCCAACTTTACCAAGTTATGACTTCTAGGTCATGTTATATCAGATATCTCAATTTTATTATTTATCATGGGCATTCACTACTATGCAATGATGGTCATAAATCCATTCCAATAAATTTTAAGTTTGTTTTTGTTTTATGATGTAGCCTATATTAGGCTCTGGCATTTACATATAGGTAACAAATAAAAACTCATAATCAAGTTTCTAAATCCTTTATGATTAACTGAATGTTTTCCACACTAATACTAAAAGTGTAATAAATGAAGTTTATTTCAGTTCATTCTAAAAAGTACATCTTGTAATAAAAAGTCTGTTTGGAAACTGGTTCATTTGGACAATGAAGTTTTTGAAATATAATTTCTGCTTAGATTTTCCAGAAGTTTAAAATTACCTTTTATTACATTTTAACTTATTTTTTACCAGTTGTAACACCACTGACATAAATGTGTTCACAAAGTATGAAATTTTCATTAATTTTGAAGTTTATGCTAAGGTGTTTTAACCATATTGCACCTGTTACTTACATTTTTACTTTTGTGTTACTAGGAAAACTTTCTGACACATCAAATTGGTTTATATATACCTAAATCAAGAAATGTCTTATAAAATTCTATTTGATCATATTGTTTTAATCTCTTTATATACTTCTCAAATAATGGCTATTGAGAGAATGTGTATACTTGATTATGTCTGTCTTCTACAGTGCAAACCTATATCATTTTGCTTTTGTGGGTGCATAAACTTCCAGCCGTCCTAACTTAGGATTCAGAAGAAAAGTAACCTTTCTTATTATTCCTCAGATTCTTTTCCTTCTCTTCTTTTCCAGTTCTATTTTGAGGATATGTTTATCTTATGTGGACCAAATTTCAAATCTTTGTTTTTAAATAAAAACTTCCTTTGGAAAATTAAATATTAAATTTCTACTATGTGTGAGTGAGGTCAAGAAAAGAGCAAATCTGAATGTTTGCTGCTTAGATATTATAGAAAAGGGGAACTCCATCGTGGACAAGGACACTGGTACTTTGGGCTTTAGCCATATTAATTTTTTTAAAAACCACCAATGCATACATAATTTACATCACTGAACTTGTGATTCTTTTCAAATCACTGAAAGTTCAGTCGTATTCCTTTCATGTTTGGTTTAATACTGTTGTATGAATGAAAAACCGAAAAGGGATGATAGTGTTTATTTTTTAATTTATTTGGTACTGTAAAACACCTTTCCAGAATGAGTAATGCTGCATATGCATTTTGGAATTGTTAATATGTGAAAGATATTACAGATTCAGCAAGAAAGGAAATTTGTGCTTCCTTGTTGAACATTAAATTATTTTACTTTGCATTTTATAAAAGTACAAATTAAAACTGAGCCATTGAATTGCAATAAATCAATGATAGTGTCTCATTTCAAGAAATTTTTGTACTGTACATAGATTTGTTCAATAAAACATTGTCCTTGATAATGCAAGTGTTTAGTTTTATGTAGTACAACCTGTTTTCAAAAATAATTTAGCTTATTTAGGCAGATATTAAATGAGAAAATTTTACTATATCATAAAAGAATGGGATATTTTAGTTAATGTCATTACCATATTGAATGATTTTAAGGAACACTGCAGAAAAATTTAACAGTTTCTATAAGTAGACATTTTTGGGCATCATTATAACTAATGTCCATATGTAGGAATAATTTGATAGAATTCTGGTTATTAGAATCATTTGGGGTAAATGGTTTCAGTGTAATGGAATTTACAGACTTAGTAGGTGTAAAAGAAAGAACTATCAGAACTCTCCAAAATCAAGAAAGTGGATGGATTTGTCTACATTTGTAATTCTTTAAAGAACTTCTTGTGGCACTTAAATAACCAAATAAAAAAAAATGAAAGACTGAAAATGGCCCCTAAAACCCAATAAAATATTAGGATATACCCTATGTGGGACATATCTTGTAACCCCAGCTACTCTGTAGAGCTTAAGGTAGAGGGAACACTTGAGTTTAGACTAGGGAACATAAGCAGACCCCATTTATTTAAAAAGAAAGGAGAGGGGCTCTAGGAATGTAGATCAGTGCTTAGCATGTGTGATATCTCGCTTAAATCCCCAGCATGCAAAAAAAGTATATAAATCATTATTACTTCCTACACAAGTATTCACATGGGGAAATGTAAGTCAATAATTTGTAACCAAAAGTGATGTTCTTGGTCATGAGGGTTTTCTTTTGGTTCACTAACAAATTATCTGCTATAATTTGCAACTAGAAAAATTGAGGCATTAGGTAGAAAAATATCTTTTTTTTTAATGCAAGTGAAAAGAAAAGTAATAGGTTAAAATGATTTACATTATCTTACAAACATGCTTTTAAACATTGAGAAAGTTACTGAATCACTGTAGTATTGAGATCTAAAATTCCCAGTATGATTTTTGGTCATATGATCTTAGATTAAATGTGATTCTTTTTCAGAATAATGAACAAATGAAGATATTCAGGCAAGCTACTGGGGTTTCAATAACTTCTCATTTTCTTTTTCTTGTACTTGAATTCTGGGAAGAATATTACTAAGACAGCTTCCAACATAATCAAATTAATTTGCTTGTCATAGAGTTTTGTATTGCTATGGCAAAATATCTGATGCTGGGCAATGTATTTAGAAAGATTTGTTCAGCTCACAATTCTGGTGGCTAGAAACTCCAAACAATCTGGTGCCACCTTCTGGCTGCATTACAACATGGCGGAAAAGTTGTAATGCAACCAGTGTACAGAAGAGGCATGTTGGTGAACAAGGAAGCAAGAGCAAAGGGAGTGGCTAGGCTTTCTTCTAACAAGCTTTCTGGAACCAATCCCATCCTCTGAAAACTACATTCATCTCTCAATATAATATTGGAAAGTAAGCTCCCAGGACATGAATTTGGAGGGAGGGGACACATTCAAACCATATCCACACCAAAGCACATAAGATCCATACTTATTTCAAAATCAATGGGTAACAAGAACAGAAGCTTGCACTACATATCAAGATTTTAATTACTATTACAGAGAATAAAAATAAAAAATCAAAGGTTCTTCCCTTAGAGATGGGTGCTGCACACTGGGAAGAAATGACTTTTGTTTTACTAAATTACTGTGTACCAACTACTTTACACATATCAGCTTCAACTGGTCAAAAACCTGAAGGGTAAATATGAAAACTGATTTCCAGATACAAAGACTCAGGTTAACTGAGTCACAAAATTAGTGAATGGAGAGGTGGGACAGAAAAATCCATTTGTCCTCAAATCATGTTTCCATTCTACCATGCAATTTTCCTTACAAATGTATGATATGAATAGGTAAAATATATCAAAGTAGGGCCACATTTGCCTGATAATCAGTGAGTTCAGAACAGGATGAAGTCTGTACAGATATACCTGGTAAATATTTCATTATCTTCTAGCAGTGATTCTTCAAAGTATGGTTCCTAGAGCATAAGCATCACCTGGGAACTTGCTGGAAATGGTAAATGTTGGTCATGTTAAAGACCAATCTTTCATTTGACAGATTTTCCAAGTCTTACGCAAACTAAGGTTTAAAAACCATAGATCTAAAGTAATACAGTTCATTATACTTCCCTAGAAGTTACACTATTTGCCTTAAATTTCATAGTCTCAGAAACTGTTTCCAGGATATTTAAAGTCCCCCACTAGAAGGTACTTAAATAACTACTGTTGAGTGAATGGGTATTTTGGTAGTAAGAGCTAATGCCCTAAACTGCTCTAACTATCCAATGTAGAGTTTACTGGAAACAGCAAAAAAGGTATGAAAGAAAAAGAACAACAAATGAACCCAGAGGTACATGCTCAAATTCCAGCATGGTAGTTTTATAGTTATGGAGCCCTAGGCAATTATGAATATACCATTGCTGTTCTTGCAAGGTTCCAAAAATTAAGTCTGTTAAGTGCCTGGTGCTGAGCCTTTTTTGTTACACTGTTGTTAAATTTCTCTTCATATTACAGCTACTGTTTTTTGTCTTGTTCCAGCCATATTGAAAATTCCACCTGCTCACATCATGCTGTCATCCTCTGCATTTTTTCACTATAGCTCCCTTTACTAGTAATTTTTCACCTCCTTCCTGCCTCAGTTGTGGTGTTATCTATCTTTCTCCTCTTGCTCTCCTCCATCCTCCTCCTCCCTTGTCCTTCTTCTCCTTCTTCCTTAATTCTTCTTCATTGTCTTCTTCTTTCTCTCTCTCTCCCCTCCTTCTTCCCTCCTTCTCCTCTCTGTCCATTTATTGGCACTATGAGGGTTTGAACTCAGGGCTTTGTGCTTGTTAGGCAGGCATTCTACCACTTAATCCAAGTTTGTGTTCACTCTTTGATTTAATCTTAATTACACATCACCACTTGCTCCAGAAAGCCTAATCTTGATTACTTATATTTTCACATTAAAAACTCCTTTCCCAATGATCCTTTTCTCAGTAAACGGCAAGCCTGGTTATCTCAAACTATCACATCCTCCACTCTAACTCAAGCCACCATCTTCTCACCACCCTGACTATTGCAGCAGTCTCCTTATTGGGTTCCCTTCTCTCCCTTGTCTTCCTTCAGACTTCTCTTCATACCACCAACCAAAGTGATCTGGTTTGAAACAAGTCAGATAACTCTATTGCTCAACTTAAAACCCTTCAGTGGCCTTACAACTCATTTATTCAACAAATATTCATTACATATCGACTCTATGCTAGGTTTGTATTGGGAAATGAAAAATCAAAACCAAAACTCTTGCCTCACAGAGATCAGAGATCACTGTCTACAGGGGGAGGGGGAGGCAACAAACAATATATTATAAATGCTATGGAGGATAATGAAGTGGGTAGAAGACATAAATAAGCAGGTTGTTGGTGGTAGCTGTAAACAGGATGATGCAGAAAGATGTCCGATAAGGTAACTTTTGAGCAGGGACCTGAATAGAGTGGGGAAAGAACTATTCAGATATCTGAGACAGTAGTATGTCAAGCAAAATAGTAAAAACAAAAGTTCTGAGGCAAGGACCTGCAAGACAAGTTGAATGTACCAATGACAAGGAAACCATTGAGACTAGTCTGGGGTAAGAGACTAAGAGAATAACAAGTGAAGTTAGAGGTCAAAGATAAAACCCAAAATCTATATAATATCCTACAAATATCTAGAGCTGCAGCTGCACAATCCAACACAGTACCAACTAGCCACATGTGGCTATTAAAATTTAATCGAAATTCAATAAAATCTGAAATTCAGTTCCTCAATAGCATTAGCCACATTACAAGATCTCAAAAGCCAAATGTGGCTAATAGCTACTGGACTGGGCAGTAAACACAAAGAACATTTTCATCACCTAAGAGAGCCCTTTGACAGACGGTTCCAAAAGTGTCTCTCAAATGGGGATAAACACTTGTCATGTCTAGAGGAATCCTGGGTTGCCTGAACTGAGAGGAAGTGGCACTACTAGCACCTAGTGGAGAGAAGGCAGGGACACTATTAAACTACAAAGCACAGATCAATCCCCACAACAAAGAATCATCCTGCTCTATTTAGGACAAACTCAGACTCAGATTTAGCTTCTACCATACTTACAACACAGATCACTTTTGACAGCAGACGTGGACTTTTTCTCCCCCATACCAATTAATCCTGTATTGACAGACACCAGCCAGGTATCCAACTACCTGGAAATAGCATCAGATGCCACAGGTTGAGGCACAGTCTGGAGTTGTTGCATCCTCCTGGATTTTTTTAGATGTTAGTCTGAAGCCCCAGGTGGTTTCACCTGTCATTCTGACCAAACAATTATAAATCAGTTAACACAAGCTCCTTTTTGGGTTCAATTACTTTGCTCAATCTGATCACAAAACTCAGGGAAACAAATTTACCAGTTTATTATACAGAATACTATAAGACACAAATAGTTGCATAGGTCTACCTTTGAGAGAAGGGGCATGGAACTTCCATGCCCTTTCCATATGTGACAGCCTCCAGGAACTTCTATGTGTTCAATAATCCAAGAACTCCCTAGACCTTGTTCTTCTGAGTACGTATAAGATCTTCATTGCATAGACATGACTGAAGCATGGACAACCATGTCTAAATGTGATTGGACAAAATGGATATGACCTAATGCTAACTGACTGAGTAGGGAAAGCCACAGCAAGTCCCAGAATTCTTTTTGGTCTGTCTCTCTGTGCAGCATTCTTCCCTCTAGGGTATGGGTCAGAATCAACCTAGAATGAGGAGTCTTAAGATGAACTATGAGACAGCGGTAGCTACATCAGAGAATTTCTTTATGGCCACCTCTAAGACAGAAAGGCAAGGGAAGATTAGAATTTTTATCACCCACATTGGAGAAGAGGAATTCTAGTTTCTATGACATGCTTAGAGAGGGAATTATGAAGCATAAATAAACACACACACATATATATGTGATATGTCATATACAATATATACAAGTGCCATAGCTGAGAAAACCTGCTTTAGGTTAGTTTTGACTGCAACTCTAACCACACTGTTCTTTTCCCCTTAATCAAGGTGCTTCAGCCTCCTGGCTTCCTTCCTATGCGTTACACACATCCCTCCATGATCAAAACCTCTACTTTTTCTTCTTCCATAACACTCTTCAGTGGTTCTTGCTCTCATATATTTCTGACTTTTTTTTCCACTGTCACTTTGAAGCCTTTCTTTACAATCTGCGTAAGACAGTATCACCCTATCCACCCTCCTTCTTGATTTTTTTCATAGCATCTCCCGGCAGATAGTTTCTTACATGTGTACTGTGTTTCCTCCCACTAGAAGATAAGCATCAGAAGATTTGTACTTTTTCCCAGGACAAAAAATTATGACTGGCCAGTAGTTATGCAGGGGCTTCATAAACACATTTTTTCAAATGAAGCAATGAATGAATTAAAAGAGACAAAAGTCAGGCATCATTCCCATGCGGTCCCATGCCAGTATGCTTAAACATTTACTGTTTCTTTACTTGCGAAACTCCCAAAAGTTCCTTGGAGAAGAGTGACATTTTTCAGACCCTTCAATACCTATAATAGGCATTCATCAATGTTTAATGAAAAATTGGCAGCTGTTTAGTGAACAGTACCGCAAATAACATCCATTGGTAAGCTAATTTGACCACGCCTTTGGATGGCTTGTTTTTAAAAACTGTGTCTGAAGTATATTTTATGACATATTTAGCTATATATAGCTCACTGGTGCCTATACATACACTGCAGGTAGTAAATGCCAATACTCTAAAAATGTTAACTCATCTCCAATACAGCTAAAAAACAGAAGCCGACAGCACAAGTAAAAATGTGTTTTACTTGAGCCTTCATTCTACCAGAGCAGGACTGTTTTTTTCTGGGTATCCACGGGTTTCTGTCACACAAAAATATTAACAGCGAATTATGCATATCTTGGGCCCCTACAAGGTGCCAGGCTCGGTCTTTCACGGCGCCCCTACCTCTACTATATCCCAAGAAACCGAGGTAGAAAAAGGCTGAGGAGCTTTGCTCGGTTTCAGTTAGTAAATGGCGAAGCAAACGCCTAACAATGTGGCTTCCAGAACCCCAACCTTAAAGTGCGAACGATACAGCCTCCCCTGCGGCAGAGCCCGCGAAGAGAGGAAAGGCTCCCAGAGCTGGAGGGGAAATTCAGCTGAACGCGGGCCGGCGAGGGACAAGCAGACGATTATCTTTCTTCAAACTTTTCACGGCATAACATTAAACAAAGTTATTTTAGTTACTGTAACTTAAGAACACTAAACTACCGGCTCACCTAACTCAGAAGCAGCCACAGAGGGCTTTCAAGCGCTCCCGGGGGCCGGGCCGGTGGGCGGGGAGGAGCCGCCTCCATTGGCCCGCCCCACGGCATCACGGGAACTCGTTCAGCGTCCAGACATCTCCCACTTTCCACGCACCTGCACCTGCACAGCCCTCAAGGCATTCTTGGAAGAGGGGCTTCCGGTAAGTTCTGGGGTTTTTCTAATAACCAGCTCTCTTGTGGAAGGTAGATGTTCACGGTTTAAACACTGCACGCACTTTAAGTGAGATACGTGTGGAACTTTGCTTCTACACAGCCCGGAACTCTAAGTAGGGTGCACAGGGTTTCCTCCTTGGCTTCCTCAATGATCACTTCCGCCCAGGAGTCTGAAATACCCGAGCCCTTTGGCTGCAGCGAACTACTGGAGAGGCACTTCCGGTGTCTGTTGCCAAGGCGCCGGCCCCAGGGGCCTTCAGGCGACATTATTGGCGTCGTCCTCTCCCCCCTTCCCGGGGGTCGAGATGTCGGGGCTCAGTCCCTTAGAGAAGGAGGGCTGTCGTAACCTGCTCGGCCTACTGGACAACGACGAGATCATGGCCCTGTGTGACACCGTCACCAACCGCCTAGTGCAGCCTAAGGACCGCCAAGGTAAGGGCCGACTCCTCCCCAGGCCTCACCCGACCCCACGTTGCGGGAGCGTGGGAGCGGGGTGTTTGGAGTCCTAGCTTCCAGGGGCCCCATGGAGCGCTCGGGCAGAATCCTGCGGAGTGGCCGCTGCTGCTCCGCGGCTGAATACGGAACCACCACACCGAACCCGCGGGCGTCCAAGGGCGGTGGTGGCGTAGGCAATGGCGCAGCCCCGGGAGTTCCCTGAGGGTTACGGGGAGATGCTGTCTGTTCCGGCGTCCCGAGTGCGTGGAGAGTCGTGTTTCACGGTTTCCGCCGAACCTGACTTTCCCGTTTTGAGTCTGCATCGGTTGATTACAGAGGAGGATCAGCTGCTCCGCCGGCTGTTTTCCTCCCGCCCGCGGGAGGAAGGAGGTCATAAACACTTTTTATCCGTCTCTCAGGCACCATGGCCCCAGTAATACCAAGGCATGTGGTGTGAATCCATGCCGCTCTTTGGACCCAGGATTTTTCTGAGATGATTTTTAATGCATTACTTTCAGAGCCGAATATAGATTATGGGGGAGGGGATTTCAAGGATTACTAAATCGAACGTATATACCTTTTTACATTTTAGAAAACCAGCCATTTGTCATGTTGAAGAACGGGAGCGGAAGATAGTCCTAAGAATTTAGACTGAAAATAACCTTTGGCTAATGTAGTTCTTCAGCATAAATAGCCCTTCTTACAATCATGGCGAGTGTAGATTTAACAGATAAAAGTGCTGGATTTAAATAGGAGTCAATCTAAAAACGAGAAAAGTAAAAACTCCCGATAAGTCATTTGAAGAGACATTTCTCATAAAAAAATAAGCATATAAAAAGATAACGTCTTTAGGAAGCAATAAAACAAAAAACAAAACAAAGTATCTTTTATGTATCAGATTGGCAGAACATTAAAGTACAAGCTTCAAGTGTTTGGTGATCAGTTGAAGCAATTCTTTTGACAACTATGGAAGGGATCTATTGTAAGAACTTTTGTAAATGTCACAATGTGCCCCCAGTACAACTATAATATAATATAATATAAAAAGGAACTACCCTTTGGAAAACCAAGTTTTGTAGACCCCAAAGTGACCACGCCCAGAGGAGTGATCTGGCCAAGAGATTATTGTGGGGTGGGAGAGGGAGAGAGCCAAGAGAGCGACTAGGCATGATCTGATTGGTTAGGATCTTATGGTTCATGCTGATTGGAGGTTGGGGCGGAAGGGGAATTCAAGCTAGACTTGAGGCAGGAACCTGACCCTGGGAAACAGAAACTTAAGGGTGCAGTAAGAACCGAACCCTATTGGCGCCATTATTGCCAACAAATTTGACATTACCTGCTTTAATGAAACATCAGACTCAAACGCTGGACCTGGGCTTAATAAACTTACTTGTGTGCCTTTAAATCCTTCAGGGATTGTATTAGTTAATTTCGCATTCCTGTGACCAAAATACTCTAGAGAACAAAGGAGGAAAGATTTTTTTTACTTACGGTTTTAAGAGGTCTCCATGGTTGCTTGGACGGAGTGTAAGGAGCTCTGGGGGAGTTTTTAAAGCATATTCTGATTCAGTAAATTTTGAAAGGACCAAATTTCTGTATTACTCACTAACGTCCAGGTGATGCTTATTCCTGTGGGCACTGGAAATAGTAGAATGTTCAAAGTACCAGTGTTTGTAGTAGGACAGGCACAAAAGAAGTGTATAAAGGAGTAGAATCCTTATAGTACTACAATTATATAGCTAAGTATGGTACAACAGTGAAAATAAATTAAAGCTACATGTATCCACATAGATTAATCTCAAACAAAGAAAAGGCTGATTAGAGAACACTAAATAAATGGATTGAATTTATATGCATACATTGTTTAGGGATACATACTTATGCTATACAACTGTGAAAAAAGTAAAATGGTAACATCTAGGATAGTAGTTACTCCGAGATTGCAAAAAAAGAGAGTAATATAGCTTTAGAAAGGGAGAAACTGGAGGCCTCAAAGATACTAATAATTTTTTATGTGTTAAGGTCCTTAGGAGGTTTGTTTAAGGGAGTGCATCTTACTGCCATTCTGTATATCTCATACATGTGAAATATTCTGTGATGTTTTATATACAGTGTTTTATGGAGGAAACTGTGGATTTGAACTCAGGACTTTGCACTTGCTAGGTAGTTACTCTACCACTTGAGCCACACCCTCAGCCCACAGACACAGGTTTTTTAAATTTTAAAAGTCCTGGTTTTGCCACTTCCTAGAAGTGATTGTTAATATACTGCATTTATCTTCAACTTTGCTTATCTGTAGAATGAGAGGATTGAACTAACATTCCTTACTATCTAAAATGCCGTAATTTTAGTGATTTTTAGAGATTGTATATGAATTTAAATTTTTTGGCTTTATTAGAAAAATAATTTTTCCTGGCTTAAATTTTTTCTTAAAAGAATACTTTAAAAGAATATGCTAGTATTTTACTATTGCTTTTGGTAAGTGAAAGACAAGGGGAATTTTTTTAAGTAAAGGAAGTTTAAAGCATAAAGGAATTAGGAGTTGTGACTCAAGTGGCAGAGCGTCTGCTCTGCAAGTGTGAGGCACTGAGTTCAAACCACACTACCACCAAAAGAAACAAAATAATGCCTGGCTAGCATAAAGGAATTAAAAATGAATCTGACAACTTTCTTCTGTGTTTTTAGGAGTAATAACCATCTCACACAAAAGCAAATATCATGACAAGAACTTAAACATTTTTCAGTAGAAATTATGATGGTGTTGAACAAATTTACCAGTACTTCATGATGTTCTACTAATCATTGCAATTTTCTTTTTAGATGCTATTCATGCAATATTAGTGTATAGTCAAAGCGTAGAAGAACTTCTGAAGCGTAAAAAAGTCCGCCGAGAAGTCATATTTAAGTACTTAGCAACACAGGGAGTAATTATACCTCCAGCTACCGAAAAACATAGTATTATTCAGCATGCAAAAGTTTATTGGAAAAAGCAGTCTCAACTGAAACTGAAGGAAACAGCAGAGCCCGTTACAAAGACAGAAGACATCCAACTCTTTCAACAGGTAAACTGGTTATATTTTGAATATTTTGAATCATTGTTCTGTCTGAAACTGAAGGTAATCTTATATTTGAGGGCACATGGTTAATAATATTTGTATTTTCTAGTTTTACCTTTATGCCATTTGCATCCTAAAGAAAGATCAGTAAAGCAACTTAGAGACAAAATATTTCTGACATTTAATGTAGTAGTGTATATGATACTATGTTGATTATGAGGGGAATAATGTTTTTTCAATTATATCAAATGAAGACTTTTAAAGTAAACTGTAAGATTAATTTCATTTTATTTTGGACTCTAGTTCTCTATACTTTCTCACTTTTAAAAAAGCTATTATAAATTTCTCATTTTTAAGACTTTGATAGTGTAAAAATTCTATGAAAGAAACTTAAGTATTTAACTAGAAAAAATCCTGTTAGCTTTCTGCAGCTGACATTGGCTATTTGTATATCCACTGTACGTTTTAATTATTAAATATTTAAATGTTGATTGAATGCTGGGTAATTACTTTGCCTTCACATTAGGAAAGGATCTTCTAAGATCTTTATTTATTTAATGTGCTGAAAAGAAAATGAACTTTGAAATCATGTATATGTTACTTCAAGTTACATTCTGCTATATACTAAGTTTGTGAGCTTGAGCAACTAATTTGACCTTTCTGAGTCCTGCTTTCTTTATCTATAAAATAATCATAATAGGTTTGCTGGGGGTATAGGTCAGTGATAGAGAGTAGCATCCATAAGGGTGTAGCTCAGTAGTAGCAGTAATGCCCTGGGTTTGAGCCCTAACACGGGAAAGGAAAAAAAGAATTTGCCAAGACTGGTCCTGGAACTTCTGGGCTCAAGTGAACTTCCTACTTTAGACTCCTGAGTCTATAGACGTGTGCCACTGTGGCCAGCTAGGGCCTTCTTAAACTTTACTTACCCACTAGAATTTTAAGCCAGTAAATTCTTTGAAAAAAATTTTTTTATGCAGAAGGGTTCGGTGAATTCATATGTGGTTCCATTCCCTTTGCTGAAATCAATACTTTAAAACTTAGCAGCTATGAGAGTTAAGCCTTAATTTTATTTTTTATTTATTTTAATCAGCAGGCAAAAGAAGATAAAAAAGCTGAAAAAGTTGATTTTCGTCGTTTAGGAGAAGAATTCTGCCACTGGTTCTTTGAACTTCTAAATTCTCAGAATCCTTTTCTGGGACCGCCTCAAGATGAATGGGGGCCACAGCACTTCTGGCATGATGTCAAGCTTAGGTTTTTTTACAATACCTCAGAGCAAAATGTGATAGACTACCATGGAGCAGAAATTGTGAGCCTTCGTCTGCTGTCGCTAGTGAAAGAAGAATTTCTTTTTCTCAGCCCCAACCTGGATTCCCGAGGACTGAAATGTGCTTCATCTCCCCATGGATTAGTTATGGTTGGAGTTGCAGGGACTGTCCACAGAGGAAACAGTTGTTTGGGAATTTTTGAACAAATTTTTGGACTTATTCGCTGTCCTTTTGTGGAGAATACTTGGAAAATCAAATTTATTAACCTAAGAATTGTTGGGGAAAGTTCCCTTGCTCCTGGAGCATCAATGAAACCAGCTGTTACATTTGAACAGAGTGATCTGGAGGCCTTTTATAATGTAATTACTTTGTGTGGCAACAGTGAAGTAAGACTTAATGTAATGCAGGCATTGGATAGTGGGACTGGAGACCAGGTTTTATGTAGTGGAAATGAGACATTGTTGAACAAAAGAGAACCGAGTTTGCCTAACACTGTAAAGCATTGAGCACTGTATGTCAGCCTAAAATTTCTCTATAGAAACTTCCAAGCATGACAGCAGTAATTTCTAAGTGATTACAGATGTGACAATTGACATATTTTAGTTGAAATACCTTTCTGGACTAGAAACGGATATATTATGTGAATACTTGCCTATTTCTACCTGAGTACAGCAAATGTTCTGAGAGCTTATTGCAGTGCATCAAATAAATCACACTTTAGATGCTGTAGCTAATCGTGTGCCTTAGAAACCAGGTAATATTTTCATTTTACTTAGTGAATATTCTAGTAATATCTATACCTTCTATGTGGCAAATGATTGACAGTGTTCAGGCTTACTGAATATTTTACAAATGCGTCTCACTGCCATACCTTTAAAAAAATTCAAATATTTTAGAGACATTAAATGTAGACTCAGAGTTTTCATTTTAGAAAATTCAAATGACATTGCTATCCAGAAAGGCCAATATTTTATCAAGGAGAGAAAAATTTGCTGCCCTTTTAATGTATTTGAGGAACACTTTTTAAACTACTCTAGTTCAAATGAACATCTCTTACAATCTGTAACATTTAACTATCTTGAGCAATGATAAATACTGTCCTCAAAACAGATGTTATTCTTATCTAGGCTTCAGCTAGCAGTTTTATGGAACATTTATCTTAACACCATATAACTAATACATACTTTTGAAATTTTAAAGGTATGCCCAGTTTCTAATCTTTCAGTGAATATCTATTCTTTCTCTTGATTGATGTGGCAGAACTGACTACCTCCAAACCCAAAGCAAAAAAAAAAAAACCCATACAAAACCCATATACATACACACACACACATACACTTCATCATAACTTATTAGGAGTTTTCCTTATCTAATTTGAATTATTAGGTTTCAGTTACAAAGTTAAGTTCCCAAATTAATTAGATAGTTGTTTTAAAGTTCCTCACCACCCAGCAGCCATTTCTGATCCTAGATTTAATTAGGAATTTCTGTTTGTAAAAGTACTATTTGTACAAAAAAGTTCAACTGGAAAATATGATGACATTGTACATGTTGATTTTTACATTTAACTGTGCTTATGACCATCTAAGGAGACTGATAATGATCTTGGAAGTAGAAGACATAAACATTCATCTTTTTTTTTTTATGACATGCCTCCTACTAGAAGTATAGTAGATTATCAATTATCCTAAAAAACTTAATAAAAGAGGGATGTCCATTTTGCTGTGAAAGAGTAATACATTTAATTTACAGTTGTCTTGCTCTTAAAGTTTTAGCCAATTAGTAAAAATAAAACATCTTTTCCTTGCTGTTTACACTATCAGTGTAATATAATTGGTATAAGTGACACAACTAGCTGGGCGTGGTACCTCATGTAATGTCATCTCCTCAGGAGGGAGACAGAGAATTACTGTTTGAGACCAGCTCTGGCAAAAATAAAAAAGGTAGTGTGACTCCCACCTCAATAAATAAACCAGGCTGGTGGTTTACCCCTACCAGCTATGGTAGACAGAGTAGGAGGATCATGGTCAGAGGTAAAAGCAGGAGACACTATTAAAAAATAACTAAAGCAAAAAAAGGTAAGAAGCTTAAGACCTGAGTTCAAATACCAGCATAGAAAAAAAGGAAAGACTTTAAAAAAGTGAACATAGCAATTTACAAAATAATTACCTCATACTTTTGCATGGTAGACAGTCAAGTTACACAAGTCCATCTTTACCCATCCTGTAGCTCTGCTTAGCTTTTGAAAACTTGTTCTGTTTGTTAGGTTGTTAATGGTCATTTAAAAAAAATAGTAAATATCCTAAGGATAAAATTAAAAACCAATGATGTCTTTTTGCTGTGCTATTTATGTCAAGTACTGCAGAAATACTGTAGATGCTCAGAATAGACTGGGATTTCCTCTGCTATCTTCATTACTGAATTTTTAAATTTTTATACAGCCCAAGTAAGGCTGTAAATTCTACACATGGTTTTAATTAATCTTACAAATCGAAGTCTTGATAAACTAATACAATTGGACTGGTTTATTTCAGGCGAATTTCCACATCTGAGCACAAGGTAGAGCCTTAGCCTTATGTTTGAGTTAAGAGGTAAATGAATGAGCCAATGAGATTTACATAATGAAAAAAAACAAGACTTTATGTTTGATTCTGCTCTTTGGTGCTGGTGTTTTGATTACATCATCTGAATATCATATGTGGCTACACAGAAACTTAGACCCCCAAATAACTAAGATTTGGGAGCAAAACAGTACTGACTTGAAAGCTTGGTCAATGACATATTCTTGAGCCCTAAGGCTATCTTAAAAAAATTATCTATCTATAAATAGATAGATAGATACATGAAATATTCAGAGGAAGAAGAAGCCTGGAAGAGTTGAAATTTATTCACGAGGATTAGAGCTTAATTTAAGCCTGAGAATGGCCAAATGCAAAGTGTAAGAATTAAATTTTGCTTTTCTGCGATCACCTCCCAAATGTGTTTGTGTTAGGAATGGCAGGGATCTTAGCTTTAGTATTCTTGCTTTCTTATTCTCAGCTTGTATTTGGAAAGTCTGGGGTAGGTAATAAAGAAGAATATGCCACTACATTGTCATGGAGAAATAATTGGTGGTCAAAGTAGGGGAATCTCATGAACTTTTATTTGATGTAGGCTAATTTGCCATAGCCTTATAATAGGGTATCTGTGGTTAAATACCCCTTTTTATTAAAAGTAACTTACTAAATAAAAATTTTTAAATCTTTTACTAAAACTGTAACTAATAGCTAATATATTTTATTGGTACCTAAAATGCAACACATTTCTTATGTTTTATAAACTAAAATTCCAAACTAGGAAAAAGGCCATCTCTACTAAATCATCTTACAAATGAAAAATACAATAGCAGGTAATGAAAATATTCCTAGGATTTCCAAAAGGTAATGTTTTTCTGTTAAAGAAGGGCTAATCTCATTAAGAAATTACGGAATCACCAGAAAATGGGATAGCTGTTTTGTTTTTTTAAAAAAGGTAATTGGAAACTGTTCTAACAAAATGGCTCTCATGCCTAAGCAGGTCATTAAAATCAATGAAAATCATATCATAATGTTTTTCTTAGGATCTATATTTGCACAAATGCAGATGCCCTTTTCAACTTTTATTGGGGGTATAGGGTTTGCTGGAATTGAACTCAGGAACTTCACACACACGTGCTGAACACATTCTACCACTGAGCTAAATTCCTGGCTCTTAATTTGGGTTGTAGGAGTTAGTCATCAACCTTTTGAAAAATAAAATGAGACCTGTGTTCTTTGTCTTCAGAAAAAATATGCTTGCTTTTGTAGCATTAGATGTTCTGAATATTTTGGTGAAAGCATGAGCTTCTCCAAAGCAGAGCTGAGTCCTGTGGAAATCATGTTAGAAAAATCTGCCATGATGTTATATTTCCCAAGACTGCTCCTCTAACAAATGGGGTTTTTTTTTGTTTTTTTTTTTTTTTGGTGTCTGTCTCTACTGTAGAGGACTAAATCTTTTTTTCTTTTTTTATTTTGTTTTTACATTTATTTACATGTGTATACATTGTTTGTGCCACCTCCCCTCTCCCTCCCTCCCCGCCCCCCAGGCAAAACCTGTTCCTCCCTCTTCTCCAGTTTTGTTGAAGAGAAAACAAGAGATAATAAGAAACAGATAATAAGAGACATAAGTTTTTGCTAGTTTGGGACAAAGATAGCTATACAGAGATTCCAGTCTTCGCTTCCAGGCAATTATGTATTGCAACCACATTGTTTCGTTTCTGCCAGACCTCTTCACTGCTTCCTGGTCCCCTTTCCATAGTGGCGTCTGCCAATTTAAGATTACTTTATTTGCTTCTCTACAGTGAGCACATCAACCACATTCAGGTTTTAGGTTTCCTTCCTTTACCCTATTCCTCCCGTGTGTGATCTCGCCTTAGTGTGTGACCCATGTCCAATAATACTACTTCATTTGTTTTGGGTCTATAATCCGCATTTGAGGTAGAGCATGCGATTTTTGGCCTTCTGAGCCTGGCTAAGTTCGCTTAAGTTGATGTTCTCTAGTTCCATCCATTTACTTGAGAATGACAAAATTTCATTCTTTGTGGCTGAGTAAAATTCCATTGTGTATAAATACCAAATTTTCTTGATCCATTCGTTGGTTGGTCTTGGCTATTTCCATAGCTTGGCTGTTGTAAACAGTGCTGCAATAAACGTGGGTGTGCAGGTGCTTTTGTAATAACTTGAGTTGCATTCCTTCAGGTATATCCCTAGGAGTAGTATTGCTGGATCATAGGGCAGATCTATGTTTAGATTTTTAAGATGCCCCCATATTTTGCAGAGTGGTTACATTCCCACCAGCAGTGTATGAGGGTTCCTTTCTCCCCACTCCTCGCCAGCATTTGGTAGTGGTGGTGGTCTTGACGATAGCCATTCTAACAGGTGAGGTGGAATCTTAGCAGTTTTGATTTGTATTTCCTTTATGGCAAGGGTTGGTGAGTATTTTTTCATGTGTTTTTTGGCCATATGGATTTTTTTTCCTTAGAAAACATTCTTGTTTAGTTCAGTTGCCCACTTTATTGGTTCACTGATTTTTGGGGAGTTTAGTTTTTTGAGCTCTCTGTATTCTGGCAGAGGACTAAATCTTATAAATGAAAGGATAATTTCTAGGAAGTTTCTTGGTTTACAATAGTCCTTATGACTTGTTTTTCAAATGGTGTTAGGTAGGCAAAAACCTACTGAAATACAAGCAAGTTAAGCATAAAATTTATCAGAACTTATTTTGACATGATAAATTGGCAGTGAGCACGTTTTGGGGAAAGTGATAAACGTGAAAAAGATATTTTCAAGATGTTAACCAAAACTTTTTTCTAAGAAGATTTATGTTTTATGTAGTAGTAAATTGTATATTTGTAATTGTTTCCATCTGTACTGTTCCATCCTGCCTCTCCTTCCTACTGTCCTATTTGTAAGCGTCACATCTACCCAGTTCGAATGGATGCAGACAGTGTAGTTGGCATGCTAGGAAACAAGGACTTTCTAGATCTGTGTTCACAAGTTTATTTGGCACATGTTTATTAAATATCTACTATTAGAAACTCACTGAATAAAGCACATGACAAAATAATACATCACTAGGTTATTTGCCTAAACTTAGGTTGAATTCAGATATCATTCTCTGAGTTTAGGTTGTCTAAACTCAGAGAGATTGTCTAAACTCAAAGACATAAGTCACTGAGTTATGCCTTTGGTAGAATGCTTCAGATCATTAACTTTTATATGATCTTGAAAGAAAAGAAAAAAAATGAAATTTTTGAATGGTTCTAGTTAAGCTACGTAGATTTTATTGATACAGAATATTGGGTGTTTTGATAGACCACTTAATTTGGAATTGGAAGGAAAAGTTGCCAAAGTTTATCAGAATGTACTAAATGCATTTAGCTTTACTTTTCTAACATCTTTTTCAAGTCTTTCAGTGAAATGCTGATATTAAAATTGCCATATTTATCCTTCATTTACTGTGATGAACCAGAAATCCAGAACCATTTGTGTTAGTCATGAAATCACTGGCCTAAAATTTAGTACCTTCTAAATTCTATTCACAGTACTACTAAATATTACTCTTTGTATTGAGTTACTTAGTGAAGTTTTTCATCTTTGGTTTGTTGATATTCTGAATCTCAAGTTTAAAATTAGTTACATTTGAATTATTAAATTTAAGGATTGAAAAGAAAATCACCCACTTCCAACTATGTTACTTGTCTGATTTCTAAACAAAAAACTATTGAGGAAAGCCTTATAATTGAAGGCTTAATTTATAAATTTGCATTAATTTTTCACAGCTTTCATATTTTACTATATTAGTGATTAGTTTTACATGTAATTGTTTTTACAATGTTACGTGTAAGAAACATTTGTCTCCCAAATTGTAAATTCCTAGAACTGGTTAATTCTCATTTCATAATCTTCCCCCCCATTCCTTGCACAGGACAACAGCTGAATTTGTAGTGTTTATTATGTATCAGTTACTTTTGTATGTACATTGAGCATATTAACTGGTTCAGTCCTTCCAACAGCTAGATGAGGTAGATACCATTATGCCTCTTTTATCAGAAACAAGGTTGAGTAACTTACAAGCTGTGACAACTCATGATAGAGCCTAGGTTTAAACCCAGACATTGAAACTCAGCAACCATACTGTCACTATCTTGCCCCTCTCATATATAGTAGTTTTTTTGTTTAACCCTTTTAGACTAATTATTCTCAGTATGAAGGTTGTCCTTTGCTGATTGTCATTGTTCCACAGCAAAATTGCCTTTATATTGTCTATATAAAAAATATCTCTTCAATAAGGCAAGCACTTTTTTCTCTTTAGTTTTGAGTACATTTCCTGACTAGAATAACCTTTCTCAAGCTTTTTGCATGGCTGCTTCATTTTCATCATTGATGACTTGGCTTAAGTGTTCTTTACTCTCTTAACTAAGTAAACAATTCATTAGTATAGAACATCCCTTTTGGTTTAGTATTAACACTTCATATATTACTTGTTTGCTTACTAATTATCTTTCCTACTCAATTTTAAGCCATTTTTCTCTAGATTTTAAGCTGTTTCACTTACATTGTATTTCTAGTACCTGCACAGAGACTAGATATTCAACAGGTATTTATTAAAGATAGAAATAAGGAAATGAATGCTATATTGTATTCAGAGGCTTATATAGTCCTAGGTCTTTGCCTGTCAAAGACAGGGCCTAGCATATATAGTAGATGATGATGTATGAGCTCCAGTACAACCAACCAAAACAAAAATTTTTTGAGACAGTCTCACTATTGTAGCCCTGGTGGGGTATAATCTTTCTGCCCGTTTCCAAGAGCTGGGATTATAGGCATGTACCACACACCTAGCTAACAGCACTAATAGAATTATCAAGAACATCTTTTGTAAAGATGAAGAAACTGAAGCTGAACTTCTTATCATTTTGTTGTTATGGAGATCACAGCATCTAACTCTTCCTCCCCCCTACCCCCAAGGTTATTTTTAAACTATAAAATGAGTATTCTTTCTTACACTTTGTTTGCAGTCTGACAACTGCTACCTTATTTTGAAATAATTTAAATGAATCATCAGTTTCTTCACATGGAAAAATGAGCCAGATGAGACAATTTCTGAGTTCTGCTATGATTTTAAAGTTTGTGGTGTGATTGTGTACCTTCTCAAAAACTGAATATTACTTTTCAAGGTATTTATAGTTTATTGTGGAAATTCTTTATTATCTTGCCTCCTTACAAGTAATGCTCATTGAAAACAATGAAATTCATTCTTAGGAAGAAGTGAATGTATACATTTTTGAGTACATGTGTGGGTAGTATGTATTTCTATCCACAGTGGGAAAAAAAAGTTTCTGTATCATAACAGAAACTTGAAGAAAGTTTGAAGTTTCTAATTTTACTAAAATTTTCTGATCACTAGAAATTCTAAAGCTATTTAAAACTAAAACTTTTCTTAAACTTTTTTTTGCCTTGTTACATATTTTCAGTATGTATTTCCAAGTTTTTGTTAAGAAAAATGCAAAGTGGTTGGGCAGCCAAATTAAAGACTGCTGTTACAGATAGTCCCCAACTTCTCTTTGTTTGACTCAGTTTTATTGTGTGAAAGGAATTCATAATAGAAAATGTACTCAAATTTTGAGTTTTTATATTTTCCCAGACTAATGACCCAAACCAACCCATTCTGTTCACTTTCTGTACAGTATTCAATAAATTCATAAGGTGTTCAACATTTCATTATAAAATAGGATTTGTGTTAGGTGATTTTGCCCAACTGTGGGCTATCATAAATGTTCTGAGCATGTTTAAGGTAGGGTAGGCTAATCTATGTTGTTTATTAGGCTAGGTTATTAAATGCTTTCTTAAGATATGTCCAATGTATGGTGACTTTATCAGGATTTAACCCTGTTCTAAGTTGAAGAAAATAAAGATTAATGAAATAACCAAATACAGAGATTTCTTTGAAAGAAAATGAGAAGCAGAAGTTGGCAAATATTTAAGAGTGACTTTATGGACAAATAGCGGACTAGGATAGGCATTTTCTGTAGGAAGCATGGCCAGTGATATGTGCTACTCATAAAGATATCATTAAAAGCCATTCCAGGAAGTTTAGTGGAAACATTTGTTCAACAAAACAGAAGGTTTTGCAGTATTTAGTGCACTGTTTTGAGCATTCAGATTTATGATAGAACCTGGGGTACAGAAACAAGATAACAATAGAAAATTTAAGCATGTCAAGGACTACAGTTGTAAAATCACTAGAAATCATTGGACTCCCAGGAATTAGGAGAAATTAATGAATAGGTCATATTTTTTTTTTTTGTGGGACTGGGGTTTGAACTCAGCTTCAAGCTTGCAATGTGGTACTTGCACAGCAGACAGTCTGCTTCCT